TTTATACTAGTAAGATTTACCGTAGATACCAGGATTAGAATAGACTTTTTTCAGATGTTCTTTTTAAGTTTCCATAGCGTTTAACGTTTATATTCCAAATATTATTGTATGTATCTAAAGGTCGATAATAGTCCCGTTAATTTGGCCTGAATGTCGAAAATTGCTTTGGAAATGCAAAAGTTTGCTTTGATTGCATTATATGCACTAATTACCAATATGATTTTATTAAGCTTAAAATGACAGGCATGGTGGATGTATATTTTCTATTCTAAATTTTCTATTCTAAGGTTTACTTACCATTTATCATAATAATATGTAGAAACAAAATCCATGTTCTAAATAAGTTTACTGTGTCCATTACTGGAAACGAAAGTGGTTCGTTTGAAAATGACACTGGATACATGCCTTAAGAGAAAACATATTCAACATCACCGCATTGAAAGCATGTTCTTAACTTCCACCCGTCTATGGGGGAGTGAAAAAGTATAACAAAAATACCGAACTCCAAGATAAATTTAAAAACTGACAAAATCAAACGCTCGACTTTATCAACCAACGGAAAGAATGGAAAACAACTGTCATATTCTTGACCTGCTACAGGCATTTTTCGAATTTAATTAAAGGGAATCATTAACTAATTTGAGGCAGGCATAATAAAAGTTGATTTGATTCTATCAAATTATACATGTTATAAATTCATAAAAATATCGAGTGACAATTTGTAATTTATACTTACATAAATAATCAAACCATAGTAAGTATTGCATTAAAAATGAGAACGAAATCTGATGACATTTGGTTGGTATAAAAACTCATCAAAGATACCTAGCTGATAATCTGGTACCCAAGACACTGTAAGTAATATATACTGTTGTTCAAGGGTTATACTTGTATGAATAGTCTTACCTTTTATTAACAGTACTTGTTACCTTTAACAATAGTGATTAAAATGTACTATATATTTTGAATTACCAGTTATTTAAAGTGAGAATATGTACTGCCGTAAGAAAATACGGCTGACCAAATGATCAAGTAAATCAATTAGTCTTCATTGTGTAAACATCTCAATCGACTTTGTTACCAAATATTTGAATAATTCTACGTTCATATGTATTTTAGTATATGTATTACTAAGACAGCCATTCTGTTGACCTCTTGGCTTTATTCAAAATAACTTTTGTATAAGATATATTACCAATAGACAAAAACCCCATAAGTGTGCTTTTGAGGTTTCATGCAGCAACTTCGTGCTTTTTTAATACGGTATATTTAGTAAATTATGTTGTGTTTGTTACCTATTAAAATGTCATTAAAGAGTTAAGTACTTTTCCTTGTAAGAATCATGCAGGTTCCTGAGGATTCATGAACCCTCTTCAGATGTCTTTATATTTTGTTTGAAGAAGGTATGAAATTAAGTTTCTTGCATCTATAATTTTCTTTTTGCCCTTTGTGTGTTTGTTACCTAGTAAAATGTCATTTTAGAATTTCAATTTTGAAACTTTTTTTCCTATACAGATATATTTTACTTTTGTGTAGGATTAGTCGATCTACGGATTGTGATTGAAGTAAGGAAGGATTGTGATCTAAGAAACAGCTTTACAACCACAACCTTGTCATTTATAAAAATACGGAAATGTGGGATGATTGCTTGTGAGACAACTATACACCGAAGTACAAATGACATTGATGTAAGCAACTATAGAATTTCCATGTTCGCCCTTCAACAATGACAAAACCTATACAGTAAAGTCAACTTTATAAGACGCCTACATGACAAAATGTGAAACGATACAATCGAGTAAAACCAACGGCCTCCTTTATGACAAAACAATAAACAACCAAACATGACAGACACTGAATAATGCGTTAGGACAGGTACATACAGAATATGGCGAGGTTTAACATATTTTCAGAGCTTAACTCTCTCCCTTTCCTGGGTAAGTGGTGTAACAGCTAGCACAATGTTAGAACCGTGAACAAAAGCTCAAAATCAATCTTAAATAAAGAAAAGAAGTACCGATCTTAGATTACTCGCTATTACTGAAAACTAATAAATGATGTTTTTCTATACTAATATATCAATCACTTCAGCTCCCGCCGTTTTCGTGTAAAGAAGTCGTAAACAATCTGACACAGGCATGATCTTTTGCAATAAAAGATATAAATACATAGTATCGGCATGCAGGATTTCGAACCATAGGATTTTGTATCTGTATTATGTATAGCAATACATATTAAGGTATGTTGTAATCGGACACTTGTCAGAAGTTGTCGATGGTCGCATTTTAATGTTTTTCATTATTTGGAAAATTGGTTTTTAATGGCAGATCTTTGATTGCTCCTGCTAAATGTATTCCGAACTCTCATTTTCTACACAAGGAAATGCATGTACCAAGTCAGGAATATGACAGTTGTTTTCCATTCGTGAGATGTGTTTGAGCTTTTGATTTTGCCACTTTATAAAGGACTTTCCGTTTTGAATTTCCTTTGGAGTTCGGTATTTTTGTTATTTTACTTTTTTTTGACTGGGGAAGAGTAAGAGCATATTGTCAAGACATTTGTGTATTTTTTACCTTTTAATGATATGTGGTTATTTTTCAGTCGGTTGGGTATTAACCCATGAACGTATATATCCCATATCTCCTTTTGTTCATACTAAATAAACAAAATGTACGTTGTACGTTACTTTATAATATGTATGCATTTTTTCTACGTTTTTCGAATGTGTTTTTCACGAAAACGAGAGGCGAAATATACCAAAGGGATATTCAAACACACAAGTCTAAAACGGACTGACAATGGGAATTTTTCTAGTTGAGGTATTACCCTTCAAAAATCTTCATCCTCATTCTTTACCTGAAGAACAGTTCTTACTAATATATCACACCACCCTTTGCCGTTTCACTGTTACAAATGGAAAGAAAATTCCATTGTCCTGATCTATATCCATAAATTTATGTATGAGTACTATATATGAATAAGGATACATCCCGAATGCACATCCCATATGCGTTTGTACATCAACATGTGTACTGCATGTCGTCACTTACAAAGTCTCACTGACAAACTATCCATATAAAGACATTAGGAGTTTTAAATCTTGAAATTGATATTACAACAAAATGAATTTTTTTTTAATTTACTGATGGAAATGTCTTAAAACTAGAGGCTCTAAAGAGCCTGTGTCGCTCACTTGGGTCCTGTACATGTTAAACAAAGGACACTCTCATTGTAGACGAGAATAGAATTGATGATAAAAATCTCTTTTATGTTGATCTTGAATTGTTGATCGTTTTGTCTGTTTAATTTCTCTCTATCTCCTTAGTTTTTGCCTAAAATACAAAAGAGGGCAAAAAAATCCTAAAAACCAAACTGTTCAACTGGTCAGGAATTTGAACAAACTGCTGTAGAAAACCACAGTCAAGTCGTGAAAGTGCAAGGTGATAAAATTAAGCATGCTTACAATCCTATAAGGCTTTATTTCAACTTCAATGTTAGCATGTATAGAAATTTTATTGTTATTGTCATGCTAAAGGTGATAGGTAGTAATTTTGAATTGCTATAAAAATATCCAAACTAAGCTAAGGTGTTCTTGTTTGTATTGTTTTACACTAGTCTTTCTGGGGCCCTTAATAGCTTGCCAAGGCTCCATGTTGAAGGCCGTACTTTGACCTATAATTGTTTACATTTTACATATTGTGAATTGGATGGATAGTTGTCTCATTGGCACTCATATCACATCTAATTCGCTTCTTATTTATATGAAAATTTTTACCCCTGTTAGATTTTCTCTTTTTATTACGGTTTTCAAATTATAAGTCAAAAACTTGCATTTTACCCCTATGTTCTATTTTAAGCCATGTCAGCCATCTTTGTTGGCAGTGGGATCGTCGGAAACATGGAAACTAGACACCCTAATGATGATTGTGGCCAAGTTTGGTTAAATTTGGTCTATTAGTTTCAGAGGAGATTTTTGTAAAAGTTAACAGACGACGACGAGCAATGGACACCAAGTGATGAGATAAAAAAAATACTCAGCTATTTCCTTTCGTTAATGCCCTTTGGGAGAAATACATTCAAGTTCCTTTATTTTGAAGTTTTCCCGGTCCTTCAACTGAATAAAATTTTATTGAGTGTTCTGTTCAAACGCAAGAACTTTCCTTTGACTGTTCGAGATTGTTGTCATGCAGTCTGAAGTAAGTGACGTTCTTGATCTACAACATCCCATATGTGTTTGTACATCCAAATGTGTACTGCATGTCATCAATTACAACTTCCCACCAACAACCATTAATACTATAAATGGGACTCAAGAGGTCAGAGTTGATATTATATGCGACTGTCATACAAGTGAGAGGTTTAGCTAGCTATAAAACAAGGTTTAATCCACCACTTTCTTCATTAGGAAATGCCTGTACCAAGTCAGGAATATGACAGTTGTTTTCCATTCGTTTAATGAGTTTGAGCTATTGATTTTGCCATTTGATAAAGGGCTTTCAATTTGAATTTTCCTTGGAGTTTGGTTTTTTTGCTATTTTACCTTTTTTCATGACATGTATATTTGATTAACAGTATTGAGATGTTAACGTGTGAAATGTTTGCAGGTGGACCTTATCAAAAACTTCACAGCATATTCTTTGATGGGGCAACAATTAAATCAAGTATCATTAAAACTCTTATGTCAGAATATTACAGGATTGAATGATTTGGTTGACTGGTGTTTAAAGCTACAATTAGTACTATTGGCTATTTCATGGCAGTCATTTTATTTGTGGAGGAAGCCAGAGTTTCTGAAGAGAACCACCGACCTTAAGCAGGAAAACTGACAAGCCTAGTCAATTAATATTGGGGTCTAGCACACCCGCCACGTGCCAGGTTCAAACTCACAACCTTAGTGTTTACAGGCTGGTAAAACGGTAGTTTTCACATTATCAATATATAGGAAATAAATTTCTATAACTTGGCTGATCTATCATTTTTATCAAATAAACAACAAAATGTTTCTTTTTTTACTTTTATTGAAGAACTGAGCACTTTCTTGAATATTTTATGTTGTTCAATAAAGTCTACAACACTATGAATTTTTTAATAATTTTCATACTACCATATTTGCAAAAGGCAGTGTATCTTAACTTCCTTGTTTTGAAAATTTGGCTTGCGGTTTAAAATAAGGTACTGTTTTGTTCATAGTCTGTTCATATGTTCTATTATGGCAAAATCGATCATGATGTTTTTGTTTACTCTTTAGAAAATTAAATATAGCAATTGATATCTTTTATAAACATTTTGGGTTTACCATCTGTTATTTTTAACAAATTTCATTTACACAACCATATCAAACCATAGTATATCAAACAGATGGAATAATCTTTTGGACCCCTTCCATTGAGGGATGAACTCCTTTACTGCCATTGAGCAGTTAGTAACTATAGACATAGTATGAATATTCAATTTGACAACAATATATAATTAGATAATAAAGATTAAGAAAAGATACAAGTTGTATATAAAATGGGAACACCTTTTAAGTATATTGCATTTACAGTGTACCACATGTATCAAATACTATGATTAAAATTTTAACTGCTTTTACTATACAACACAGTTCTGATATCATTTGGACCAATTTCGTGAAAAATCATAAGTAAAAATACTGTTTCTTGGTGTGTTATTAAGTAACATGTATGTGTAAGATGTTTAGCAAATGTATAATCATTCCAGACATTCATTCCCTGAAATAAAATTTTGGCAGAAAAATATAAAACAATAGTTTTAAAGTAAACAATATCTGTGTGAATTAAATATCATTTATTTCTTAAAAAAATCCGCCATTGCATGATCGTGTGCATATGGTTTCTCTCAAATTTTTAATTGATGTGAAAGCTCCTCATTGAATGGTTTTGTTAATAAAGTGAATTTGAAATTTTGAAAACTACATGTGAAAAAGCATTAATACAAACACTCCAGGTTTTAATATATTATAAAAAAAACTGGATATACAAAGAAAGGCAACAAAAGCTCATAAAGAATCAATAAAGCAAACATAACAACCAAAAAGAAAAAAAGTATTCTTTTGCACCAAATCTGCGTAAAAAGATTAACATAAAAAAAAACTAACAATATGTATAATTGTAATGCATGATATATCTCTCTAATTAACACAAAAGAACAAAAAAGAATTATGCTCAACATTGTCTTTTCATTACTATTTAGAAAAATAAAATTTCATAAAAGGCAATTTTTCAAAAGTACGAAAGTGTCAATACATGTATATTTTTTCCAGCAAAGCAATAACCTTGTATATGAACACTCATAAAAATGATTTAGTTTATATCAAAAGTTTAATACATTAAAATGATTTAAACACACAATAATAAATGCTATTCGAAAATCATCTATTTCTTAAAAAGATATTAGATCATTATATAACTGTTTTTTATATAAGTATAGAACATTTAGAGGGAAAAAATCTGCTTAAAATTAGAATATTAGATTTTATACTTTTAAAAGAAGTACAAAATAGACTAAATAGTCACTATCAAAATTACTCAAAAAAGTTTTTTCTTTCAAATTCTTATACATTAAACCAACTTATTCTTGGGGATTCATTTGGTTGCATTGTTCTATTATTTGCTTTTTTCCATGATTTTCTAACTTTTTTGGTGTTTTCAAATACAAGAAAAGATCAACATATTAGTGACGAATTATATTTGCATTACTTTTCTATTTTGGAAAGTTTTGAAAAGTAGTTGGTTTACAGTAATAACATTATCCATAAGAGACAGTCTTCAAAGTTTCCCCATCACCATGACAACACAAATTGTTTTCTATCAACAAGTGTTCTTATCAAATCCTTAGTACTCATATCTTTTTTTTTCTATTTCTGTAATCATAAATATATCATTTTCTCTTCAATAAGTTTGTTTCTGTTAGTTCAATGCTTGTTTGGTTGATGTATGATCTGAGGTTTCTGATTTGGTCTGTTGTCGTGCGTTGGCAGTGGCTTATCATGATATGCCTTCACAGCTTCCGGTGGGAAATCTTTGTCTCCCTGAAATAGTAAAAATGTATAGCAGTGTTTAAGTGTTTCAACTAAGGAAGTACTGTTGTGTGGTATGTTTTTCTCTGAGTTTAAATTTCTCGACTTCAAAGGCCAAACAAAGGTTTTATTTTTTGTGATCTTCCTGTCTTTTCTGATCTTCCATGCTTAAAGACCAAACTAATGAGAGGGGATATTTTCACTATTTCATTTTAATTGTAGAGTCAGGGGAAAATAAACCCCTCGCGAAAAAATTTCCTATTCAAGGTAGATAGGGTGTCTTCCTCCATCTTGGATTTTGAAATACCAGAAGACAATCGGTCTAGATATTTAATAAAAGGTGCAAATTTTGAGAGTAGTAGGTAATTCATGTGTGAGAATTTTCATTTCAATATAGAAAATAACATATTTTATCATATTTATGGTTGTATATTACAAAAAAACAGAATACTTTTGTTTGATTCTATTTTTTCCAACTTTGCCACATAAGTGGAGGCAACTCAAATGTAAGGGCAGATAATTCAGATGAAGTTACTTTTACAATAGAATGTGTTAGGAATTTACCTATTTTATTATGTAGCAAGAAAACGGGTCCCGTGACCCTATTTTTTCTTTTTCTTATCTGAAAGCATATTATTAGAGCTATCTTCTCATATTTTATCTCAAAATTCTATGGTGTAGTTTTCGTTTTATGGCAGAAAATTGGGTTTTCCATGCATAATCTATACAAAATCTGTTAATTTTGCACAACCTGTAGCGTGAAAATAGGCCCCGTGACCCATTCTTTTTATTATTATTTTTTAAAAAGCATGATATAAACTACGTTTTGGCAAATTATTAAAGAAATCTATGGATTATAATTTAGACACCCCATCTACCTTAACAGTATAAACTAGACATCATTGAGATAGGAGCCATCTCTGTGGGCCCGCTGTAAATAACGTGTGGTAAAAAATTTGTATGGATAAGCTGATATAAAGCACTTTATTATGTTCTGACATTGAACTTTGACCTAGGAAGTTGTACAAACTGGTGTTGGTTAATAAACATGTCAAGTATAAAGTATGAAATTATAACGGTTCTCTAGATATAGAGCGGACACAATTTGTTACGGACGGACAGACTGATCACTATAGGGCGACCCGCCACTAGGCTGGGTCCTAATTATTCATATCAGAACAAGGTTTTATGGGGACAGGCCTAATTGCTAAGTATGCTTTTGTCCAATCACATTAATGTCTGCCATAATGATGTTACCATGATGTATAATATCATTTTTACTTTCTGTAAAGTGCTGTATTCTATAGGAAAATATGTTTCACCTGCCTTCTCAAATTAATATAAGTCCATATTTAAGTCTCAGAAACCCTAAATATCACTTTGATAAAAAAATTAAATTATAAGTGCACAACATCATATCTAGACTTGCTACATGTCCTTTCCTGATTTTATTTTTATTTTCAATTTTGCCCCTTTAACAATTTTACTGCTTTAACTAAGAGATTTCCATTATACTGACATCTGCAGAAGAAGGGACTTGTAAAGTTTGTCTGAGGCTTGACCAAACTTGACCAAACTGTTAATTTCAGAGTAATTAAGATTTCAAAAACTCTGGGTGTTGCGGTAAAGTGTGACACTGAAAAGAATGCTATAACTACAGCAGTTATCCCAAAGTGTGGCAACAACTATCCATAAAGTTAAGTTTCTTTTCAAACTAAATATTGTCAAAAATATATTAAATTTTTAGCCACTGTAGTGCTCTCAACAAGACTGAAACAAATTTCTGTTGTCTGTAATTCACAAACAGCTAAAATTTCTATCGAACCTGCAATGATTGATTGATTGATTGATTGTAGTTTACTTTATGTCAAGTGGCAAATATTTTATGCATGTTCAGGATAAAAACAAATTAACAATAAATACAATAGGTAGGTCCTGCAATAAGAGATGAAATAAAAAGTAATCTTTCAATGTTTTTATAGTTTTCACCAAATTTGGACATGCCATTAGCAACACAGCTGTTGCCACTAGTGGAGCAGGATCTGTTTAACCTTCTGGAGCATCTACAATCACTCTTGGTTTTAGGTTGGGTTGCTGCCGCTTAGTCTTTAGTTTTCTATGTATGTTTATGTGTTACTTTGTTTAAATGTGTATACATGTTTTTGTTTGAATGTACTTTAATCACTCTAATCATTTACTGTGCTTTATTATGTAATTTATTTGATTGTATAGCTCAAATTTTAAGCACCATGATATCTTATCTTGTTAAGTGTTTGTGGTTTGTTGTTTGTCTTTTGGGTTTGTCATGTTTATGCCATGGTAACTGTATTTTCAGGTTTTGTTAGCCATATGAGTTTTGATCGACACTTGTGGTATATTCTGTATAATTAGTTGTCATGGTTACTCACCTTACTTAAAGCACCAGATATTAGAACTGAAGTATGGTGTTTATCAGACTTTGGAGCACTGAAAAAAATAACTATCATATATTGACATGATTGATAATTTGTTAAAAGTTTTCATAATCATAAAATGAATCATAATTGACAGAATTATGCCATATTGTAAAAAGAATGTACCAGAGACATAATCAAAGTGCTTGTGAGCAATGATGGGTAAAGATTGCTTTCATTTTGTAGTTTTGTGAATTTTTAAATAAAACATTGAATTATATTTTTCTAGGCAAGTTAAAAATTTGAGTTGAGTTTATTATTCTTACTTTGTTTATGATTGTTACATTTGCAGTTAAACCTATTTTTAAAACAGATTCATACACCATGCATTACATATATGTAATTTTAATAAAAAAATGTTTTCTTGACAAGTCTGGTAATTCAAATACACAGCATATTGTAACTTAAATATCAAAGTAAAACATATCATCAATTAATTGCATGACATTGACTGAATTGGATCTAAATAACATGAATAAAGATCATGTCACTGCACTATTTTGTATGAACTATCAAAGATAAGTATCAACCTTGGAAGATATAGATATCTAGTCAGTACCATAGGGTTTTGATTGCATTTCATGCAACCTTTACCCAAAAATTGAAGTTTGAGCCATGTTTGTAGTATCTCTAAACATCTTCATGTTCATGATCTTCTACATTTCATCAGAATTTTTTACAGAATAATTTTGTAAAATTTTGTGTAAATGATTGTGACCAGTGTACTACATGTACTAGGGGATCATCAATGTACATTTTTTCAAATTTCGGCAGCTGATTTTACCCTTATAATGCTTTTATTTTACATGTTTAAGTCTAAGTAAAGGAGAAACCATTTGATTTTTAGGGGGGGGCTAGGATGAAAAATTTTGTCCTGCATTTTTTTTTAGGTGTAATCTCTGTCCTGCCTTTTTATTTTTATTTTTCACTCTATTTGGTCCTGCCTTTTTTTATTAGTTTATCCTGACTTTTTTTACATAAATTGTCATCCTGCCTTTTTATTTACTCAAAACTCCTGTCCTGCCTTTTTTTCAAATTTCATCCTAGCCCCCCATAAAAATCAATGGTAGCTCCCTAACAGCATCGAAGTTGGTTGGTCTGTATGAGAATAGGATATATATAATATTTTAAGTAGATACCCTTCATGACCTAAAGATGATTGTGACCAAATGATTCCTGATGTTAAGATATTTGCAATATTTAAAATGATAAGACTATTCATAATTGTTGCCAAACTATCTTGACTATGCAACAAATGTACATTGTAATTCTAAAAAGCAGTCTTTACAAAATCAAAATGAGTTTTCCCTTCATGAGTATAAAGCTTGTATTCATGATATTTGGATGTCACTAAATCTGTGATATCATTTTTTTTTTAAATAATTTTAAGGTGTCCAGAATTGAAACACTCTGATAAACATGATCAACATGATAAAAGTGGAATATTAATAAGTTTTTTTTCATACAGTCTTCTGAAGTACAGAAAATAACAGATAATATTTTCATGTTTTAAAGATTAAATCAAACATAGAGACATGTATACATGCATATCTAGAAATGGGATACTAACCTCTCTCCAAACTCTTCTATTTCCTCTTTTGTTGGAGGGGGTGTGGCACCTTCCACTTTTTCATTCTTCTGGTGGGTAACAACTCTCATACCACCTACTTTCACTGAAAAAAAAAGTAACTGATGATTACAAAATTTGCTCGTATTACAATGATTTTATACATTTGTTTAGCATGTTTAGAATTACAGTGTGTGTGTCAGGGAATAAAAGTTCCTTCATAATATAAGTTCCAAATGGAAACAATATTCTGGAATATTATTTCCACTGGAATAAATATTACAGTAAATGTTCCTAACGGAATAAATGGTATATATAGAATATTTGTTCCAACAGGAACAGATATCATTACATTGTTTATAACAAAGTTTCCAGTGGAACTTCTGTTAGGCGGAACAAATATACGTTGACAATCAGATATGCAGAAGGTGATTGTCAAAACTAACTATTGATTATTTATGGTGATTGTCAAAACTCACTCTTAATGATTTAAGGTGATTGTCAAAACTCAATCTTGATGATTGTTCATGTTGTTCAGTGATTCACTGTGAAACATGATTACTGCGAGTGATTGGAGGTTGCAAAAAGGATAAAACACATTTTTTCTAAGGTTATTGATGTGTAAACTCTGTAGATTAACTCACAAATTTAATAAAAGTACAGTTTGTGGAGACAGTGACCCAGTTTTTACATCAACAACCTCAAGAAAAATGTGTTTAATCCTTATAATTATCATGATTATAATTAAAAAAAATATTTATCTTTCAATTTTTATATCTTGGAAACCAAGGATAACATTCATGACATTCCTGTTTATTTTGCACGGATATATCACACTGAAGTTGATATAGTGTTTACAGTGTTCACAAAGGTTACAAAAATCAATTCTGCAATTTTCTATCTATGTTTTTAAAGCCAGAGAAAAACATTAATAGACGAATGACTGTCAAGTATTTGTAGATCATATAACATGTATAAGAACATGTTTAATGAACAACCCTTTCATACATTGTACATGTACATTACCTATAAAGTATAGAGATTTTCAAAAGTGAATCCCCCACAACACCAGAATGAGTAGGTAATACTTAAATTGAATTGTTATATATATAATTAACATGAACATTTCAACAACATGTCTATCATGTCTATTAGATTATAGTTTTATCTTTTTTATTCAAGTTTAAACAAATAATCTTAAAAGTGACATTGTCACTTTCCTCAAGTTGATTTTTTCAAATTGAAATTTAAAATATGATCAGAAACGTGTCATTTGTAAATGTGTGCCATTTTCATTGAACATGGTCATGATGGTTAAGACATTGATCAATTATAATATTTTTATTTGAACCACTTGCAGTCAGGGGTACTACTTGTACAAGTAATTTTTATTTACTTGAAGAAGTAAAAAAAAATATACTTATATAAGTAAATTTGTATGATACTTATACAAGTGAATTTTATTTACTTGTATAGGTAAAAAAATAATTGACGTAGTTATGTCCCTTAAACATTCAGATTTTTTTACTTATATAAGTGAAAAAGTCATCTTATCTTCATTTCTTAAATTTTTAGGATTTCTTTGCTCTAATAGAATTTTAATTTGTCTACCCATTGCAGATGTCTTTATTAATCATTTAATTGTAATTTCATGGACAATGAAAATCCCATTTGTCTGTTATCTTCAGAACACTGGTCATTTACAAGCCCCAAAGGAGCAATTTTTGAAGGCTTTGCGCAAATACTTAAGATCTTTGCGCAATCAGTTTCTTTGTTGAATTAATGAGATGAAACATTGAACTCTAATAAAAAATTATGAGCTAACCTGGGAAAAATCATTAAAAGCATGATTTTACATCTCAAAACTTGAGTATTTTGGTGGGATTGTAAAAAAAATTTACTTGTATAAGTAAATTTTTGAGAAAATTAAGGGGAGATTATTCAAACATTATAATTTACTTATATAAGTATATTTTTTTTTACTTCTTCAAGTAAATAAAAATTACTTGTACAAGTAGTACCCCTGACTGACTTGGAAACTATCCAATATTTGATCATATGGTGGAATACACATTTGGCAACTACATGTACTCCCCATGTGTGGGGGATGTGTCCAACAATTATCAAAACCAAAAGAGAAAACTATAATTCTTTTACAAACAATTGTTGTTTTTCCAGGGGAACGTCTGTTACAGTACGCACAGAGAGTTTGTAATCGCGAACTCTAATCACGGATTTCGGAGTGTAGCGGTGTCACACCGCGAATCACGGATTATACTCCCAATTTCCTCCAAAGATTCTCTCCCAACACCGCGTGGCTGTTAATTGGTTTATTGCCCATCGGATGTACTGAAAATTAATGACGCGTGACAACATAATCGGATTAGCCAGATTTATTACCTTTGTACATTTAATCGATCTTGATTGCACCTGTGTGCTTTAAAACACGGTATTAAAATTTCCTTTCTTTGACAGATAAAAATGTGACATTTTCATTCAAAATAAGATAATTATTCTTGTATGTATTTGCCCCATGTCATTGTCATTTGAAATAAAACGTACAAACGTATAAAAATACGAATAAAACACTTATTTTGTATTTTTATTATAGTCCGGTCAGGTCATAATTTTTGTTTTTTCCAACAAAGACGATTTTACTACAATTAGAATCTTTTATGACCTACTCAGTGAGCAATATCCGGTTCATTAATTGTTCAATATATAAATATCAACTGGCTTAAAACAAAATGATGTTTTTACGGTAATTTGTCCAATCTAAACCCAAGAGTTATTTTATCCGATCAACAAGTGAACTCTGTTACTTTCAATTTATTTTGCAATGTAAAATATTATGTTTCACTACCTCGGTAGATTACCGACTTGAAATATTTGAACTCAGAAAAGAAACTGTAAAGTGACAACTCTGTTGAACGAAGGGAAAACGTTTTGTATGCAATGTGCCCTGTATTCATAAAAACACAACACTGAGAGACATTCCCCGCCCAGACACAACACAATTATAATCACAACCTAATTTAATTATATGAAGAAAAAAAAATCATGTGTTGTTTATCTCTGTTATGATCTGTTATTGATCCTTTATTATTTAAAATAAAATTGGATGGGCGCAATCCGTATTTTACTGCTTGTTAAAAGTCCTTAGCGAAATAAAAAAAAGAAGTATTTCAACAATTAATACTTTAGAATATTTAAATGAAATTATATCGTGTTCTAGAAGAAAGAAATATGTGAAAAAAATGTGGATCGGATTTTTACGATCTACACATTTTCACAGAGGATCTCTACCAACGCCCAACAGGAACTGAAAGACATGCATCCTGTTTTCATCTACCATTTATGTATATTGTTGACCATGGACGAATAAATAATGTCCAGGTTTATGTCCTGTGTTGACTGAGAAACGTAAAATTAAAAGGCTGGTGTTCGTTTATTCAGAAAAGGATTATATTTTAGATTCCGGTTAATCAATTGTAAAAGGACCTTCTAGAGCCTCAATCTTAAGGCATACAAATGTCAATCATTCCAAAGCAAATTTAAACCTCGAATGAATTTTCACACGGTCATCCAGAAAGGTCACCTGAGTTTACTGTTACGTGATAATATTTCCCGCCAAATAAAAATCTCGTGGACAAAATTGATGTCACTATTTTTAGCATTCAATATTGTGAGCGAAGTCAAGTTCAAAGTTCAACGACGGACTGTTGATCACTGAGATGTGTATCGTCTTCCCACGGCAATTAATTTCTTTTAAAAAATTTTAAAATCACTGTCCTTTATACAAAACATAAGTTTACATTCATTGTGCGTAAATGAATATTATGCAACGACGAGTTGATGCAGCTATAGAAGTATTCCTGTTGTAGCCAAAATGTAATTATTTATCCTAAAGTAATGCCGTAGACTTATTAAGCATAACGAATGGTGAATAGTATTTTCTTTTTTACTTGCATATACAAATTTTGAGACACGTAATTTTCTTTAAACTGCTCACTTTTATATTCAGCGTTAGTTTCCGTTTATTTTTACGCAAGTATGTCTCTTTTCGTAAATAAAATAATTTACCGATGAACTTAAACAATGTCAAAATCAAGTATAGTTTTTGTTAGAAAACTTTAATGCAATTGAAAGAATTAACAACAACATTCTGCTTTTAAATCTTTAATTTAATTTCAAGCAATTATGTAATCGTAAAATGAAAATGGCGTGGACTTATTAGCATAACGAATAGTGAATAATATTTTCTTTTTTACTTGTATACAAAACTTTGAGACATGTAATTTTCCTTTAAACTGCCCACATTTATTCAGCGTAAGTCTCCGTTTATTTTTACACAAGTATATCTCTTTTGTAAATTAAATATTAATTTACTGACCAGAAAAAAAACGAGGTAAAAATCAAATATAGTTTTTTTTTAATAAAACTATTTTTAAATGTACAGTGTAATTGAAAGAATTAACAACAACTTTTTTACTTTTAAATCTTTTATTTGTTTCAAGCAATCAGAAATATAACCTGATTATCAATAGACAGGAAATACAATTGTTTAATTACATAAGTAATCTCACATACCTTGACTGTCGCGTGCCGGTATAGATCAGAAGGATTAGGGCAATTAATTACCTGGTGTGACACCGCGTCACACCGGACTGGGAGAGATGTCGCTAATACAATAAACAAAAGGTAGCGAATTTACGCGGAAGTCGGAGGGAATACTCCCAAATTTCTCCGAGAATTTAGGGAGGGATGTCGGAGTTTCCTGGTGTCACACTAAGAAAAAACTTGGTGTTCGGAGTTTGGGAAGCCTTTCGCGAAATTTGTACTGTAGGTGGAACAAATATACATTGACAACACATCTGTTTTTATCATGTTTATCAGGTTGGGGACAACCAGCTAAATTGGGGACAATCCAACTCGCCAAATGGGGAATAGTTCCCCAAATGAGTAACTATACCTCAAATGAAAGAAACTTTTCTAGTATTGAAAAAACATTTTTCTAATCCACATATTATACTTGAAATGGTACATATTCATGAAAATGCAGCAAATTTTCTAAAAGATGATTTGTCCTAACCTACAGTCAGAGGTACTACTTGTACAAGTAATCTTTATTTACTTGAAGAAGTAAATAAAATATACTTATATAAGTTAATTATAATGTTTAATAATCTCCCCTTAATTTTCTCAAAAATTTACTTGTATAAGTATTTTTTTTTACAATCCCTCAAAAATTCTCAAGTTTTGAGATGTAAAAACATGCCTTTAACAATTTTTCTCAGGTTAGCTCATAATATTTAATTAGAGTTCAATGTTTCATCTCATTAATTCAACAAAGAAACTGATTGCGCAAGGCCTTCAAAAATTGCCCCTTGGGGGCTTGTAAATGAGCAGTGTTCTGAAGATAACAGACAAATGGGATTTTCATTGTCCATGAAATTACACTTAAATGATTAGTAAAGACATCTGCAAAGGACAGGCAATCAAAAATTCTATTAGAACAAAGAAGTCCTGAGAATTCAAGAAAAGAAGATAGGATGACTTTTTTACTTGTATAAGTAAAAAAATCTGAATATCTAAAGGACATAACTAAGCCCAATTTTATTTACCTATACAAGTAAATAAAATACACTTGTATAAGTATCCTACAAATTTACTTATGTAAGTATATTAATATTTACTTCTTTAAGTAAATAAAAATTACTTGTACAAGTAGTACCCCTGACTGACCTATTTACTATGAACATGATGAATTTACAAGCCTATGAAAATAATGAAATCTTTAAAAACTTGACAGTTTTTTTAAGGCTACATCATGCATGTATATACTTTTTCAAAACTCAAAATTAAAGTATGGTTCTTTTGATGAAGTTCTTCTATTTCCTATAAATTTGTTCCATTAAAAGTAAAAAAGACTCATCTTGTTAGATGTTAATCAATTAAAATTTCAAAACTAATCATGCTAATCTGCTAATCTGCTAATCATGTTATAATTTGTTTAACCTATTATTATTTTACTTATATATTATGTTTGAAAAATTATATAGTAATTATTTTTGCTCCTTTTGGTTCCATGATTGGTAAATAAAGTATTTGTTTATTTGTTTGTTTGAGCACTACTTTATGAATGCTACACCTTAAAACTTTTGCAAATTCACAGGTTTGTTTGAACTGGCAGTAATTTTTGAAGGTGCAAACAAAGCCATTTTAGTCCACTTGTTTAATAAACCTAATTAATTTAACTATTGTATTCAGATGGAGTAAACACTGTACTTTGACTTCATAAAAAAATGTCATGAATGTTGCCATGTTCAACAGCTGTTTGTTTGCTGAGAACATTTTGAAATGGGTATTATGGATTACAAATCATGTAATTTTATATCCTCTGTTTATACCTGCAGGGGCATGACCACCCTTCAGTTCTGCATCTTGACTGGCGTCTGACATTTTTCTGCTTTCGAAAAAAAAACTGTTTACGAAGTATCAATACAAAAAGCGTGCAATATATGGCCTTGACCTTTGTTTACGTGGTTCAGATTAGGGCACGTTGTACATGCCACTAGTGTATGGTTATTTTTGGTTATGCCGAAAGCTAATTATCCTGGTTTAGTTTAAATTTTACTGCTTGTATTTGGTTTGTCGATTTTTCTCACAAAAATAGCTTTAATTCATATTCTTAAATTGAAAAATTGCATAGTTTAAGTAAGATCGGGTTTTGTCTTCCATACAAAATATATCCATTCGGATACCCTCGGATAGTTTCATCAGTTCCAAAGTTATACGAAAAACGGAACCAACACTATCAACTAAAAAAAAAAACATAGGCACAAAAGACACAAACAAAAAGTATAAACATATACTCAAATATTGGTAAAAAGTGGAACAGTGATGTTGACTAATATACACACTTAAGACTCTTAAAATTACTGAACTTCTGTTCTGCCACGGTAAAATTAGACAAAATACTTGTTTCTGCTTCAGCCAGTTAATGCCTTTAATTGCTACAAATTTATAGATACACTGATTATACTGCCATGGATTTGGTATTCATAATGAATCATCTACTTCCCCAAAAATATTTGAATTTCATCCAGCTTTGCCATCGAGACTGTTGAAGCCTTGACTGACGCAGTGACAGTGCTGATATGGCTCCCATTCACGTTGGCTCCCTTTCACAACGCACCCTACACGTTCGCACCCCGGATCCGTTCTCACCCTACACGTTCACACCCTTTTATTGGTTTTGTGTTGAATAATTTTTCAATTGTTTTTTGGTAAGTGTATGACTATAAATATTTATTTTGTTCATTGTTTCAAAATGAAGTGACTTTCTGAAAAGCAATTTTTGTGTTGAATAATTTTTTAATTGTGTTTTGGTTATTGTATTGCTATAAATAAGTTTTTTTTCATTATTTCAAAGTAAAGTGACGTTTTTTGTGTTAAATATTTTTAATTGTGTTTTGGTTAGTGTATTGCTATAATTTTTTTCCTTGTTTCAAAATAAAGGGACTTTCTAAAAAGGTTTTTTGTGTTGAATATTTTTTTTAATGTTAAGATACCAAACCGCTATTAAACTCAACAACGATAACATTTTGAATCTTCATTGTTTTTACTCATACCAAGCTAAATACATGCTAATTTACATCAAAGCTAGTCATGCCAGTTAAAACAACAATCACGATTTTCAAACACATAACAATAACACCCAAGTTTAGCTGTGTAAACACCATATCAACAGTAATCATACATAATCAACATATAATAATTATTCATCAAATCAAATTTAAAACAATACTTCATTTAAAAAAATTCCTGAATTTTTATTTATCATTTTATGAAAATAAAATATTTTGAAATAAACATCTAATTATTCATCAGGTTTTTTAATAAAAAAAAATGGTACTACGTGTAAGGTGCCAACGGACCCAGGGTGCGAACGTACCCGATGCCCTGATATGGAAGCAACTCGTACCATTGCAAACTAGTATCACTAAAGGTCAACTCATACCAATGTAAACTCATACCACTGCAGAATTGTATCATTGCGAACTCATACCACTGCAAACTAGTACTGTTGGGAACTAGTATCACTTCAAACTCGTACCATTAAAGATGTTTGCAATAGTACAAATTTACCATAATACGAGTTAGCAGTGGTACAAGTTTGCATTTAGTGGTATGAGTTGACATTGGTACGAGTTTGCAATGGTACGAGATAACTATAATTTGCTGATACAACCCTGTTCAAATATTTCTTGAGGTATTTAAAGACTTTTTGAATTTTTGCTGCGACTAATGTGGTTGATCCTATATTTCATTTTATTTTTAGCAATCAGTTGTTCTGTTTATCTTGTCACATAAATATGTTGTGTACATGGTGACTCCATCTGGGTTCTAATGTAAATGTGCAGCCTAGGTATTTTGCACTGTTGACTGATTAAAGAGTGTGACCATGTAAGTTGTATGAAGTTGTAATTGTGTCTTTTTCCTGCTGATGTTGAGCACATTGATTGTCCACTTGGATGATCATTTTCCATTTAGTTTCTCAAATACCGATATAAAAATAAAGAGATGAGGTATGATTGCCAATGAGACAACTATCCACCAGAGTTCAAATGAAGCAATTGTAGGCCTTCAACTATGAGAAAAACCCATACCATATAGTCTGTTGTAAAAGTTACTGACATGAAAAATGTGAAAACAAACAGCATTATTTACATATTAAACAAAACAATTTACGAAAAAAATGAATATGACAGACATGAACCAATGACAACCACTGAACCTCAGGCTCCTGACTTGTAGTCTTGGTGGTCCTAATGACCTCCAGGCTTAACAAATTTAGAAAATTTTCTTCAATTTTTTACATGACAGTCAGGGTTAATCACATACAAGTCGTGTTTATTTACTCGAAGATGTAAGTAATAGTTACTTGTAGAAGTAAACTTGTAGGATTTTAATATTTATTTCAAGATTTGAATAATCTCCACTTAATCATCACATGATCATGTTAATCTTCTCCAAAAATTTACTTATATACACGTAACAGGTAAATTGTTTTACAACCCCCTATATTCTCAAGTTACTCATGTTCATTGTTAGGGAGGTCAAAATATGCCTGTGCAATTTTTTGGTGTATGCTTATAATTTTTGATGAAAGTTCAACCTTTCATCTCAAGAACTAAACAAAGAAATTTACTCTGTTGTGATGTTAAGTGACTGTGCAAGGGCTTCAAAAATTGCTCCCTGGAGGCTTTTAGATGAACAGTGTTTTGGAAATGACAGACAAATGAGATTTTTTGTTCATGAAATTATACATTTATGAATACTTTAAGTCACAAGACAACTATTAATGACAGACAATTAAACACTCAATTACAACAACATGAACAATGTTATGAAGAGAAATTAAAGAAAACAAGAAAATATGACCTCTGTACATACTTGACATACATGACATATATATATAACTTTTTTTAAATCTGAATGCTTCAAGGGACATACATTTTTTTAACTCTACCTCCAAAATAATTCACCTGTACAAGTAAAAAAATAACACTTGTATAAGTATTACTGTATTACCCCAGACTGCACAATGATATCCTTTTATTTTTATCATATTTTATTTTTAAATCTTCCAGGATTGTAATCATACAGTAGAGAATTATGGATGCTGAAGAAAAGAAAAGGATTAAAGAGCTTATGAGAGATAAAGAGTAAGATACAATTGTCTTGTGCAGTTATCTTTGAAATATATAACATTATCTAACATTTGTTTGTATAGATTATATTATAATTAATATCATGTACAAACGTATGAGGGTCTGGATGAGAGGGTCATCATTGCTGTTTTCCTAAATATTTTAGGCTGTTTTTCTCTATTCTTTATATTTGTGTCAATTATTTCCTATTCTTTATAGTTAAGCACCCCATTATTTTCTATCCTTTATTTTTTTGCCCATTTTCACTATTGTTTATTTATTTACCCATTATTCTTTATTCTTTTAACCCCATCCAGACCCTCATATATTGCTGACATATATACATGATATAAGAAGATCTTGGGATCTACAGCAGAAAGCAGACAACGACAGTCAAACTCATTACCCTAAAAGAGACGAAATATAGTTAATAGGAATGTAATGATCTTTTGCCAGCCATTAACTTTAGGTGTAATACCACCAAATCATAGTACGTCACATCCGGTTGCATACGAAAATAGGTTGAAAAAAAATATTCCCTTGAATTTGACAGTTGTAGGTAATTGATCCTACATTTCATTGCAGTAAAACATTTCTGGGTCATAAACATATATCTTGGGTATTTCAAAGCACCATTATTTTTTTATTTTGGGTTTCTATAGAATATTTTGGAAACTTGAGGTTACATGGTTACTAAAGCTTGTACACAGGTTAAAAAAGGGGGAAAATTTGATTGGTTAACTTCCAGTGATGGTTATTTTCTTATATGCAATGAAATGTTATGTGAAATTTTTTCTATAGTACTGGACAGGATCAAACTTTACTCATGCCAAGTATTTCTTTATTTGAAACAAAGATGAATTCTGCACAATTTTTTGAAAAGTGCAAATTTAACAAAGACTAATAGGGGAAAATCAATGGTGGTATTACACCTTAAAAAGATATGTCATATGCCTAATTGGCTATGGTGGTCTAGGGCACTGGACACATGTGCAGGCCAAGTCGCCATGATGTTGCAAAAGACATAAAGCATGGGTTCAAATCCTGCTTACAGATTTCAATGACAGAAGAACTTTAGGCTTATTCAACCTATTAAAACTAAATATGTCAAGTGCATGTAATGGCCATCCAACATTAAAACATGGGAATAATAGCTAATACCTATAAACTTGTATGTAACAATCACCTTTTACCACACACACATTTTAATCACATCTAACCCGAGAGTATGATACATATTACAAATTTACATAATCTCCTCCAGGACTTGAATTTGGGAACTCTGTGTTACAAGGCAGCGCTTTAATCAACTGAACTTAAGAAATACTTCCCTAGCTCAACTACTTACTGCTTGCTGAGTATCTACTGCATATACTAAGGGTAGCAATCCTGTCACACTTTCCCCACCACAAGAGTCATCGTACCATTATGACTCTCAATAACACATACCCTGGCTAGAAAATATTTAAGAGGGTTGCTCCCCATCAAATTTAGTATATATATATATATTAGTTGACAGTATTCAAAGTTTAAAATCGTTATTACCATGAAATAATTAACTTGTTTTTTTTTTATAGTAAAACAGAAGAAAAGTTACAATGGATGTACAAGGGAGACAAGCCAGAAATGGAAGAATATTTACTTGGAAAAAGAATTGACAGACACATTGAACAAGATGATAAACCTCCTGGTTAGGATGCACACATTTTATTTAGAAATTTTTGTTTCCTGTCTAATTTAGATTCATTTATACTTGTGGGTAACAATTTTCATGGATTGAGGACAAATCTTATTTTTGTGGATATTCGAATTCATGATTTTTCCAAAGTCTGCACACAAGAATATAGACAATTTTTAGTTTGTTGAATATTTAAATTTGTGTATATGAACTCCCATTATAGAAGGAGTGATATTAGATACTCTTGAATGACTAACAATTCCTGCTTTGCATAAGACATCCATCATATTACCCAGTCAAAGTCAGTTATGTGTCTTTCTAATCCGAGATCAGGAAACACCTAAAAAACTTACCTTTAACTGTTTGTGAGAAGCTAACATGTTTATTAACAAAAGAAAAGACAGACGGGTATTATTTTTAAGGCAAGTAGGCTGTATAATCAACTTATATTCACAGCTGATTTATTTTTGCATCTTTCATTAGTCATGTTAGTAGAAATATAATGTGAATATAAGTAGTCTCACGTTTGTTAAACTTATTTCTTTTCTTATATGAACAGACAAAGTTATAAAAAATCATGAATATAATTTTAAAATTGGCTGAAAAGGTCTACAAGTGAAAATAAGTGGTTACAATATCAAGCAAGTAAATCCAGATAACGGCTTACATTCAATTCTAACAAACATTGATCCATGTAAAGGGGGCGTGGTCATGTGTATGGAAGATCTTAAATAGAAAATGATTTCACAATAATAACAAATTTTTATAGGCTTGAATGGTGTAGCACTACGGATTTGTTCTTATTATGACCAATAGTTCAAGCATGAAACATGAATAAATGTAAACCAACTTATTTTGTGGATACTTTATTTTTGCATTCAACCCTTTCTTGTGCGACCTTAAGCTTGCAGCTATCTAGTTTCTTGATTTTCTAGCTTTATTGATGCATTTATATTAGAAGAAACAAGTTTGACAAATTTATGGGGATTTATATTTGCATTATTTTCGACTCCCAAAAATTGGCAAAAATAGATAGTTGCCAAAATCAGTTGGTTTACAGTAATAGATTAAACTGGTAAACATAAGCTTTTTGTACAGAATTAACAATTAAACACACACCTTAATCACAAAAGTAATAAATTAATGCAGTAAATGATTTGAACATCATTGTATAAATATTGAGGAGGGTTATCACTGGCAGTATCTCACATTTACTATTGTTAATATTATTATTATTTTATTTTCAGATGATGTTGCAATATTTGCCGAGCGTATACAGGCGAACATTGCCTTGGACATGGCTGCCAAGGCAAGAGAAGATCCATTATTTGCAATCAGGTCAGTAAAAAACTGTTCAAGGCTAAATGCAAATGTACATAATTGTAATCTTTATAAGGCCACCATTAAAAAATTCCTTGTTTGATGTTGCCTACCCATATCTTGTAGGATTGGGTAGGTAGGTTGAGAATTTATTATTTTTTGGCCAACAACATAAGTTACATGTTTTAGACAACAACGTAAGAGCAGGAAAAAATCTTTGAAAAAAAAAATTTGAAACAATTTGTCATAAAATTTTTGGGGTAGGCTGGTTTTTTAGATGGGTAGGTATGCATCATTAAACATTTTAAATTTTATTTTTGGCCTTATGAATAGTGGTAAATATCAGTAGTTTTGAATGTATTTAACTATCTGTTTCCCATCAGAAGATGCTTCTTAATGTGAAACAATAGCTTCAGGGGAGATAACTGTGAACATAAGGAAAAGCCTTCAATGTCATGCTGCTTCCAGTTTTGTTTAGGACGAGGTCTTAATAAGGGAATCTAATGGCAGGTATTCAATTTTTGTCAATAGAACATAACTCAAGGTATCAATTCTGATAATTTACAAAAGAAATGCTGTGTAGTTTACAAATGAATTAAATTAAGAAACATATTTTCATGCCATGCTCTATGCTCAATTTAACATGGGTAGACATTTTATTAGCTCACCTAGCCCAAAGGGCCAAGTGAGCTTTTCTCATCACTTGGCGTCCGTCGTCCGTCGTCCGTAAACTTTTACAAAAATCTTCTCCTCTGAAACTACTGGGCCAAATTTAACCAAACTTGGCCAATATCATCATTAGGGTATCTAGTTTAAAAAATGTGTCCGGTGACCCGGCCAACTAACCAAGGTGGCCGCCATGGCTAAAAATAGAATTTAGGGATAAAATGTAGATTTTGGCTTATATCTCTGAAACCAAAGCATTGAGAGCAAATCTGACAAAGGGTAAAAATGTTTATTAGCTCAAGATCTATCTGCCCTGAAATTTTCAGATGAATCGGACAACCCGTTGTTAGGTTGCTGCCCCTGAATTAGTAATTTTAAGGAAATTTTGCCTTATTTGGTTATTATCTTGAATATTATTATAGATAGAGATAAACTGTAAACAGCAATAATGTTCAGCAAAGTAAGTTCTACAAATAAGTCAACATGACCAAAATGGTCAGTTGACCCCTTAAGGAGTTATTGCTCTTTTATAGTCAATTTTTAACAATTTTTCGTAAATTTTTGTTATCTTTTACAAAAATCTTCTCCTCTGAAACTACTAAGATGAATTTAACTAAAGTTGTAAACAATCATCATTAGGGTATGTAGTTTAAAAATTGTGTTTGATGACCCCGCCCTCAAACCAAGATGGCTGACATGGCTAATAATAGTACATAGGGTAAAATGCAGTTTTTGGCTCATATATCTAAACCCAAAGCATTTCTAGCAAATTTTTCAAAAACAAAATTGTTCATTAGGTCAAGATCTATCTGCCCTTAAATTTTCAGACCATTCAGGCAACCCGTTGTTGGGTTGCTGCCCCTGAATTGGTAATTTTTAGAAATTTTTTCAGCTTTTGGTTATTATCTTGAATATTATTATAGATAGAGATAAACTGTAAAGAGCAATAATGTACAGCAAAGTAAGACCTACAAATAAGTCACATGACCAAAATGGTCAATTGACCCCTTAAGGAGTTATTGCCCTTTATAATAAATTTTTAACAATTTTCATAAATTTTGTAAATTTTTACAAAATAATTTCCACTGAAACTACAGGGCCAAGTTCATTATAGATAGAGATAATTGTAAGCATCAAGAATGTTCAGTAAAGTAAGATCTACAAACACATTACCATCAGCAAAACACAATTTTGTCATGAATCCACCTGTGTCCTTTGTTTACTTCTACTTCTACCAGTTAGTGACCACCGTCATCATGTTGACTATTCTGTCACTTTTGGGTGTGCGCAAATATAATTTTGATTAAAGTAACAAACAAAAAAGGTGCTATACAAATATTTAACAGTGGGGATTAAAAACAAGGGCTTTTGATTTATTTGTTTGTCAGGAGCCTCTTGAACGATTCAAGGCTGCTGACAGATATAACTGAGGAGGGTAAGGCATTCCAATTCCTGATGGTCCTCGGGTAGAATGACTCTTTCCTTGTTGTCGTGTTACATTGTGGGATCTGAAAAGAGTTTGTGCCCATATTTCTTGAGATCCTGTCCGGTGGAACGAGTTTGTTGCTTGCTGCAACGTTGACCTCCTGATTGTTGATCTTATACAGCATTGATAGTTGTGCGCTTCTCCTTCTATCTTCAAGTGGTGTCCACTTTAGTTGTTCCAACATATCAGTAACGGATGATCTGTTACTGTACCGATTTGTTACATATCTGGCCGATCTCCTTTGTACCATTTCTAACTTGTGTTTATCTTTTTGGAGGTATGGATCCCATAGAGAGCTGGTAAGTATTTTGCAGATGTTACGTGCTCCAAAGTGTGGCTATGTAAACGGTAATCCTTTATAATAGGTGTTCTGTTCTTTGTTACTGATAATAACTGACATTTATCTGGATGGAATTGCATCATCCATTTTTCTTCCCAGACAGCCAACTTGTCTAAATCTTCCTGGAGGGTATTATCATCTGATGTTACTGTGATGTATGCAATGGTGTCATCTGCAAATAGCCTCACAGTTGATTTAATATTTTCTGGCATGTCGTTTATATAGAAGAGGAAGAGGCTGGGTCCTAGCACAGATCCTTGTGGTACCCCAGACTCTACATCGATGGAGTCAGATGTTTCCCCTTCTATTAGTACTCGTTGGGTTCTCTCAGATAGGAAGCTTTTAATCCAGTCGTTTGTTTTTCCTCTTATTCCATAGTGTTGAAGTTTGTGTGTTAGTAGACTATGGCCGACCTTGTCAAATGCCTTCGAAAAGTCCATGATTAGGCAGTCTGTTTGTTGGCCACTATCAAGGTTTTTGGTGATGTCGTCGATGAATTCTATCAGCTGGGTTTCACATGATAGTTTCTTCCGAAATCCATGTTGAAGGTCATACAGGATGTTGTTTTTATCTGCATGGCACATGATATGGCTGGTTACTATGTGCTCCATTATCTTACAACATATACAGGTTAATGATATTGGTCTGTAGTTGATTGGTTCAAACTTTTTTCCTTTTTTGAAAACTGGACAAACGTTTGCTGTTTTCCATAATGATGGTACCACTCCTGTGTCATATGATCTCTGAAAGACAAGTTGGAGTATTGGAGCTATTTCATTGGCTAGTTCTTTAAGGATCATAGGTGAGATGTTATCTGGACCCGCAGCTTTATGGGGGTTTAAACCATTTAATATGCACATAGACCAAGGTGAGCGACACAGGCTCTTTAGAGCCTCTAGTTTGTCAATATCTTTATATCAAGGGTAAGCAAGGTATAAAATGTTGACAAATATAATTTCTACCCGTGTTGAAAATGTTTAAATGAGCATAGAGAATGGCATGATAGAATTATTTTAATTCTTATATGAAAAGTTAGAACTTTTGTACTTTGATTCTGTCCTATATTAAAGATATGTTCAAAAGGCAGCCATTTTGAATTGATAAAGCACGAATGTTCTAGAAAACAATTGTTTCAAAATTGAAAAATGAATTGAAACTGGTCAACTTACTTTTAAAATGAATTTATTTAATTTGATAGTGAGCAACACTAACAAAAATGTCCATTTTGATCTCTGGCACTGTTCCAAATACAATTGATGTTGCAATTTTAAGTGTGACGTCAGGCACGTGTGGTACATGTTCTATTGGAATTAGAATATGACTTTGTTTACATAGCAAAAGAAAAGCGTCATATTAGAAGGAGAAAAATTTAATATATTTTCTTAGTTGTTGCATTTACAAAATTTACACTACACATGGAATTATCTATAAAATGACTTACTTGTATGCAAATATTAGGTGACAATTTTTTATGCTTATTATCATAGTTCTCTTTAAAATGGGCACTCAATTTTTACATGGAGAAACTTATATTTATATCACTACATAATTTGCTTATAGAAAAAAGTATGATGCTGACATTTTCATGCACATGAAATATGTTTCTGGAATAACTTTTATCTGATACACTCAAAAACAAAACAGCTAAAACTGCTAAAGTATAACTCTGTCTGAAGGATTTGCAACCTAAGTTGAAAACTGGAAATTAAAAAACTAAATGTACAATTAAAATCATGGCAGTACTGAACCCCTGGCTACTTGATGGATAGTACCCTCAAAGACAGATAGTCCATCAGCAGTTGTACAGATCCAGTGGAAGAAAAAACCTGTATCCCTCTGATTTTCATGCACATGACGCGTTGCAAAAGACACATTCATCAGACACATGGAACCAAAAGACATTTTCTTTAAAACTTTTTTCTTGAAGTTTAAATGGAAAACTTTCCATGTACATTGATAAGAATTATAAGGTCAATTTAGATCTACAATTAGAATGTCTGCCTGATGTGTCTGTAAAATCAGAAATTTTTGCAATGTGCCTATAATAAGAAAATTCCAACTAGATAGGTTTTGTAAAAAGGAAAAGCTCGCATTTTTAATTTTGAAAGCATCATTTCAAATTTATGCAACATTTCTTTAAATCCTTATTATAAATCTCCAGTTGTTATCCATTGTTCAACATCACAAAAAAATAGATGCAAAGATTTATGAATTTACAGTATTGACTATAAATGATTATGTCCTTTTCAGGAAAAAAGAAGAAGATGTGAAGAGAAAACTTTTAGACAATCCAATGAAAATGAAAAGATTACAGAAACAGGTATGATTGTTTTTTATTATAAATTATATTGTGGTTAATCTTTTAAACTTCCAAATTTTCCCCTCTATATCCCCACATTGAAGAATCATTTAACTGAGACAGCATTTGATATTTTAACACTACTAATTTTATGATTTGTGTAACTGTTTTTCCCAAAATAAATTATATACTGTAAACCAACTAATTTTCGCGAGCGATTTATTTTCGCGTCTTTCGCAAGTAGAAAAATAACGCTAATATAATTTGTCGCAAATATGTAATTCTTGGATCTTTCCACATTTAACTACATCAAGCAAATTTGAAAATCGCGAAATTAAGTCGTTGCGAAGTGGGCTAGTAAGGGCTAAATGCGAAATAAAGTATCCACGAAAATAAGTTGGTTTACAGTATTGGCCAATTTACTTTCAAATCATTATCACTGCCTTGAGTGCGGGAGGTCGTTGGTTAAAATTGGTATTTGCTGCTTCTCCGTTAAGCACATGGCATTAAGGAGTAAGAGCAAAGACTGGTCGGCTTGGAATCAGAATAATGTGTCCAGGTAAGGTAACATTTCTTCCTGGGGACTGTTAACTTGTGAACTAGCATGTAAAAAATCCAGCTCAGGTAGTCGGTCAGTACAAAGCAGGGTTAATATTCATATTACATTACATGTAACATGTTCTCATCCAGAATATGCATCTTAATTTGCCGCTGGACGTTAAGCATCCATCATTATCATTATCAATTATGGCTATTTATAACTTTGCACTTTATTTTATTGAAAATTTTATTTTGGTTTATTTAACATCGGCACATTCATTATATTCTCCAAATATACCAAAATACAATGTATGACTACAACAAAAATATCCCAACTTTACGGTAATATTTTAGATTTCTAATTGTACATGTCCTGTTTTGTAAGCTTGAAGATAGAAAGAAGAAATCTAAAAAGAAAGAACAATCAGATTCTGATGATGAACTGATCAGCATGTATCTATCAATTCTCAGTCAAAAAGAGAAGTCTCACAAGAAGAAGAAAAAGCATAAGAAAAAGAGCAGTGAGGATTCAGAAGAAGATGATTCTTCATCAAGACATTCTAAGAAACACAAACATAAGCACAGCAAGGACCATGATCACTATGAAAGAAAACACAGACATGATTCAGATTCAGAGGAACATTTTGACAAAAGAATGAAGATCAAAGAAGAAAAATATCAAAATTCAAAAAGTGATAAAAAAGACATTAGAAGAATGGACAAAGATAGAAAATCAGAAAGCAGGAAACATAGACATGATTCTTTATCAGATGATGACCGTCATCATAAAAGAAAACACAGACATGACTCTTCTGATGAAGATTCCTCAAGACTTTCTCATCATGGTCATAACAAAGCTGAAAAGCACAAAGAAAGTTATAATCATGAAAAACTTGCAAAACACAATGAATTAAGCCACAGACAAAAAGATAATATAGATAGACATAAAAGAGAACCAGAAAAAGATCCAGTCAGAAAGCGACATGATTCTGATTCAGAAGAGGAGAAAGTTGTTCCTGTTGCTAGAAAATATGGACTTATTGTAAGTTATTTTAGCCAAACAGCTCATCATTCCATAGTAACCTTGGCATTTAATAGTGTCTGTGTCAACTGTTAGTTCCCAAGTACTGGAAAAATGTGAAAAATAGTGTTAATTAAATAGGTTGGCATACCTAATAATTCTATTTGTGGGTTGCTTATACATTAATCAGAAATATATGACGTGATCAGGTTATTCATTGAGGGTGGTAAAGGGTTATTTTCGTGCAATGTTTTTGGCCTTTTTATTTTACATGTTTTCGTGTTTTGATGTTTTATTTCTTGTTTTCTCGTGTTTGGTTCGATGTGCGTACTTCATGTTTCCCCTCATTTATTTTCTGTGTTTCTTGTTGGTGCTCTTAATTTCTCGTGCTTGTCCCGCATTACAATTTTGATTAAAAAATAAACCTGGACTAATTTAAAGAAAGTGTGTTCAGTATAATACCTTCTGAAACTTGTGTAATCTAATAGAACTTGATGTATATTGTTACACATCTACTTTTGCATTTTTTGTGTATATTTTTGGTATGTAATCAAATTACTATGAATAATAATTTTTTTCAAATCAGATGCAAGTAGCGGACGCTAAAAGGTGACCACAAAGTCTTCATGTCCATTAATAATAGCTGCATGATCTCTAAGAACGGCTGAGTAATAACTCCTGGTACTTTTTTCCTTAATATTTACCATGTTATTTCTCATGCTTCGTTTTCCAGATTTTTATTTTTTCGTGCAACGTTTTTGCGATTTTTATTTAACGTGTTTCTGTGTTCAGTACCCCCCTTTACCCCCTCTTCATCTTGCAGCCAATAAAAAATCAGTATCTGTATGAATTAAACTCCTAATGTAAATATTTATAAAAAAAAACTTCTGAAAAAGTATACTGTAAAAATTAAGTAAATTAGTTGTAAGGTATTTAATGATGAGACAGCAATCAAACAACACAATATAACAATACATGTATATTCAAAATAGAAGCTGCTAGAATTATTACTGGACTATAGGTCTGTGTAATTCATGAAGACATTAACCATGTAAACTTTACAGTGAATTTTAGGATTAGAATCTCTTGAGAATAGATTAACCTTCAGAAGGAAAACTGACAATCCTAGTCAATTAAAATTGGAGTCGAGCTCACCTGCAATATGGGGGATTCAAACTCACAACCTCAGTGTTGACAGGCTAGAGATACAGTACTGACTACTTAGACCACTTGACCACCAAGGCCCCTTGAGAAAAGAAGACACAAACATAAGCTTATACTGTTTATAACATATTAAATTGGATAACACATGCATAATTATATGAGTTAATCCAGCTGTATTTTCCCAGCCTAAACCTACACTTTGAGGAATAAAAATAATACTTTAATAGTTTCATTCCTTTCACTATAAGGCTTTGGTATAATCTTCCTCTAAGTATAAAAGAATCCACAAGTTTATGTATATTTAAAAGTAGACTACTAGACAAATTCTTCAGGACTGATCAAATATTAAAACCCTTCAATTATGGGATAGATAAATATAATATCAGTCATTGTCAACTCAGAAATAATGCTAGCAACCTAAAATCTCATTGATTAATCAATGTTTATTTTTATGCCCCCGCCGTAGCGGTGGGGGCATTAAGTTTTACCCTTGTCCGTCTGTACGTACGTACGTACGTACGTCCGTACGTCCCAAAATTGGTTTCCGTTCTCTAACTTGAGTTTGCCTCAGCCAAATGTTATGAAACTTATACACAATGCTTATTACCACAAAACACAGATCAAGTTTGAGTTTTGGTGGCGTCACTTTAACCGTTCTAGAGTTATGTCCCTTTATAAATGGAAAAATTGCAAAATTTTTAGTTTCCATCCTCTAACTTAAGTTTGCCTCAACCAAATGTTATGAAACTTATACACAATGCTTATTACCACAAAACACAGATCAAGTTTGAATTTTGGTGGCGTCACTTTAACGGTTCTAGAGTTATGCCCCTTTATAAATGGTAAAATTGCAAAATTTTTATTTCCTTCTAAATATAAAGTATTTTTTAAAATTGGAGTTATCTTCCTTTGTCCATGATTATAGTTGAATCAACTGCAATCAATGCTTTATACAATTGCAATGTTTAATTTTGACATCCACTGATAAAACACAGATCAAGTTGAATTTGGGTAGTGTCACTTAAACCATTATTGAGTTATGCTATACACAATATTCATTACCACAAAACTAAGATCAAGTACAAATTTTTTGTTTCCATTTTCTAACTTTAGTTTGCCTCAACCAAATCTTATGAAACTTATACACAATGCTTATTACTACATGATACAGATTAAGTACGAAATTTGGTGGCGACACTTTTACCATTCTTGTGTTAAGTCCCTTTATTATCATAAAAATTGCTGAATTTTTTAGTTTGTCTCCACCAAATGTTATAAAACTTATACACAACTGTTCTAGAGTTATGCGTGTTTACAAATAGAAAAATTGCTGCATTTTAGTTTCTGTTCTCTACTTAAGTTAGCCTCAACCAAATGTTATGAGACTTACACACAATGCTTATTTCCACAAAACTCAGATCAAGTTCAAATTTGGGTAGCGTCACTTTTACCGTTCTTCAGTTATGTCCCTTTATAACTATATAATATGCAAGCGGGGGCATCATCTGTGTCCACATGTGGACACTATCCACATTTATTTCTCATATTTTCACACACATGTATCCCTGCCTTTCTTTAACTGTAAATTCAGAAGCTATTGCAATTGTTTTTATTATTGTGAAAGGTATGTGACATGATATGTTTCACAAAAATGAAATTTGAATTTCGATGGAAATGTTTGTGTGCATCATTTCCTGAAATTGCAATAAGTAATCTCTCATGTCTGTCCATTGTTCAAAGATGGCAATAATAATAACTGCATGCAAAAATTTCTAATGGGTAATAAATATAATTTTAGAAATTGAAGCCAACTCCAGATGATGAAGGAGCTAGAAGAAAGAGATCAAGGTCTCCAAGGAAACACAGATCTAGATCGCCAGTGCAAAAGCTCAAATCTACATACAATAAGGCTGATTATAAACCAAGGTATGTTTACTCCATAACTCTTCACTGGGCAGAGTTCTCAAAAAGTGGTGGTCTGAAAGTTTTGACCACCAAATTTTGTATAGAACTGACACAATTTTGGCATTTGCACACAGAAATAGAATAGCGGGGACCAGTAGATTTTCTTCAAGGACCAACAAGGAAAAAAAGATTTTTGAGAACTCTGTCTGGGATATTGGTATAAACTCTGACTTGGATATTGGTATAAACTCTGACTGGGATATTACCAATACTTAGATATTGGTATAAACTACCAAGGAAAAAAAGATTTTTGAGAACTCTGTCTGGGATATTGGTATAAACTCTGACTTGGATATTGGTATAAACTCTGACTGGGATATTACTCTGACTTAGATATTGGTATAAACTCTGACTGGGATATTGGTATAAACTCTGACTGGGATATTGGTATAAACTCTGACTGAGATATTGGTATAAACACTGACTGGGATATTGGTATACACTCTGACTTGGATATTGGTATAAACTCTGATCCAATTGGTTATTTATTGGGACAGTAGAATTTCCTGTTTCAGAATCTAAAGAGTTGTGGAAAATTGTATTTTTTGTACATAAACATCATAATAAAGTTCAACCATTGGTTAGATATCCATGATTGTTTCTGATGTTGTTGTCCAATTAAGATGTTATTGTGTACACTGTGGGAAACATTACACAGAATTTTTTCTTGGGGGGAGGGGGTCAATTTTTTTCCTCAAGATTTAAGAAGTTATCAATTTTCAAAAAAATATATTGGGGGTCACAATTTATTTTGCTAATTCTTTGTAAATAGTCTGAAAACAGATTTACTAAGTATTGTGCAACAGCACAGTGTAATGCACAACAGCAAGAAATCTTCAATTGAATATAAATTCAAATCATATAACCAATTTCAAGTTCTTTGACTACATTTATTCTGTGTCAGAAACCTATAATGTGTCAAATATTTAATTACAATCCAAATTCAGACCTGTATCAAGCTTGAATATTGTGTCCATTTTTGCCCCAACTGTTCAGTGTTGGACCTCTGTGGTTGTATCCAGCTGAGCTCGGCGAAGCAGTTTATTGGTATTTGATATAACACAGCTGCCTTTGACTGCATCTCAGACCAATACGGCTAACTTTGCCAATAACTAAGCCAATATGAAAAGCAATACACAATAACATTAATATTCAAATCATGTTTATTTCATATAGTTGCTGCATTTTTGTCTTAATCAAAAAAATAAAGTCAAAGAGAGAACAACAAAAAAATGAAAAAAAGACACATAACAGTCTACAAAACATGATCATCACTAACCTAGAAACAGTGTTGGAAGTGTTGTTTTTTTTATCACAGTGATGCATGACCTAATTTTTTTATTTATGTTTAGAAAACTTACAGAAGAAGAAAAAAAGAAAAAATTAGAGGAGATGATGGATAATGCTAAATGGAGAGAAGACAATAGGACAATGAATGTGAAGAGATATACTGAAGAAGAGAAAAGAGAAAAACAAGAGAGATTAAAATCTCATGAATCAGGCTTCTTAAAGTGAGCTTTATGATATATTACTAATACCTGAATTTCACTATTGATCGTCATAAATGTTGATTACATATTGCACAGTAGATGAACCAGTCAAAGCAAAGGGTGGTTTAATTGGATTTACACCTGAATTTAATTTCAAACTATTTAAACCCCTAGTACAAAAGTAAATACCAGGAAAACATTCTTATATCTTGTCATTTTAACTATGGTGGATAGCTGTCTCATTGACAATAGCATTATCATACCACATCTCCACATTTTTACAAATATTGGTTGATTGAATTTTGAATGGACAGTAAAATAAATACCAGTCCCTACCTAGTCAATTATTGTTTTAAAACTGTTGTAAGTCATACACTTTTTTAAGTCAATATTAGCGATGTTAAATGTTCTCTTTTCTTATATTAACAATTAAGATAATAAATGGAGAACCCCTTTTTGAAATAGATTGAACATTTTGGAAATAAATAACAGCTTTTGAGACTTAATCTCCCACAGCTTTTACTTGCACTTCACTCTTCAATGTCTTGGGTTATGTTTTACGTATGAAAATCACTCATGAAATACTAGCTGACATAACGTGATATAACATAGAGTAAGCATACATCTAGTAGGGAGACTCCCAACAGAATTAGTCAACTACGTTTTTCCGTTTGAATGGTTTTACACTAGTAATTTTTTGGGGCCCTTCATAGCTTGCTGTTTTCGATATGAGCCAATGCTATGTGTTGAAGGCCGTACTTTGACCTATAATTGTTTACTTTTATAAATTGTAACTTGGATGGAGACTTATCTCATTGGCACTCATACCACATCTTCCTATATCTATATACAATAAGATAACTTGGTGATGCATCAGGAATTTGTTTGTACTGTCATGTTATTGTCTCTTTGACCCCATTGTTAATTTAGTTATATATAGGGGACAATATAATATAACTTCTGCAAACCAAACTGTGGTAACTCTGACAGACATTACATACTTCAAGGAATTTGAATAAGATATTATAATACTTCATGAATCTGGTGTTTGAAACACTTTTTCTGAATTTACCTTCTCAGGAACACTGAAACTCAAATATTGCTTGTTTGAATTGTTTCACATTTTGTCATGTCATGGGCATGGCCTTTTAATATCTGAATATAAGGTATTGACTTTGCTCATTATTGAAGGCGGTAAAGTGACCCATAGTTGCTTACATCCACATCATTTATAGTCTATGATAGTTGTCACATATACAATAATACCACATCTCCTTATTTTTTTTCAATTAAATCAAAATATTTCTCTTTGCTTTGTATGTGTATATTATAACTGTTGTTTGATAAATTTAATTAACACTTTTGTTTTATGTTCCAGTTCAATGATGTCCAGTCATGCAGAACAGAGTTCAGTAGAAGATAGAATCAAACGAAACAGATATAATTTACAAAGGACAAAAGCAGATTTGGACAAAAATTTCTTGAAGAAACAGTAAAAATGAAGTTTTTATTTTATCCCAATGAATATGTAATAAATGTAAATATATATAATAGTTTCAGTTTAGTTTATTCACAACTTATAGAGACACAGGATGATTTGGAATTTGACATATTGTATTAACGTCTGTCTATTGTTAAAGATTGTATCAGCCTTTATTAGCTCACCAGGCCGAAAGGCCAAGTAAGCTTTTCTCATCACTTGGAGCCGATCGTTGTCATTGTCCGTCATCGATAACTTTTACAGAAATCTTCTCCTCTGAAACTATTGGGCCAAATTCAACCAAACTTGACCACAATCATCATTAGGGTATCTAGTTTTAAGATGTGTCCGATGACCCTGCCAGCGCCAATCAAAATGGCCAACATGGTTAAAAAAAAAGAACATAGGTGTGAAAAGCAAGTTTTGTATATTATCCTGGAAACCACTGTGAAAAGAGAAAATCTGAAATGGCAGAAATGTTCTAAATGTTATCTATCTGCTGTCCATCTATGTCAAAACTGTCAGAGTTATTGCCTAGAAATGTCAAAATTTACCATTTTTTTCATATTTGCTGATTATTTTGAAGACTTTAGAAAGAATCTTTATTACTGAAAAGTGATATGCAAGACAAGATCTACAAATAAGTCTAATGGCTGAAATTATCAGAGGACTCCTTATTGGAATAATTGCTCTATGATGAAGATCTTTACAAATTTTGTGCCTAATATCTTTAATAGATAGATGGAAACTTTAAATAGCCGAAATGATCAATATGACAATATCTACAAATAAGTTAACATAATCGAAATTGTCAGTAGATTCCTTATTGAAGTTATTGCCCTTTAATGACAACATTTCCCATTTTTTAGCGTTTTTGCCTAGGATCTTGATGACTATAATAGATAGATAGAAACTTTAGACATTAAAAACAATCAGCAAGACAAGATCTACAAATAAGCCACATTCCTGGAATCTTCAATCAACTCATTATTGGAGTTATTGTCCTTTAAGGATGATTTTTATCATTTTGTTTTAGTTTTTGCCTATTATCTTGAAAAGTATAATAGATACAAATGTAGATAGAATCTTTAAAAAGCAAAAAAGATCAACAGGACAAAATCTACAAATATGTCAACATGACTGAAATTGTCAGTTAGCTCTTAATAGAGATATTCCCCTATGATGATGATTTTTATTTAAAAAAGTGGCCGTTGTTGAAGATGCAGGTGAGCAACACATGCCCTTTAGAGTCTCTAGTTTTATTTGTCATTTTGTGGTTGTCTCATTAATATACCTCATATCTCCTTTATCATACAATTTGACATAGTCCAAAATATGTAGACCTACAATTTTTTTCATTTTTTTTCAACCCTTTCTCTCTTTTTCTGAGCATTTTGTTATAGCAAAGGCATGAGACATTCTAAGACCATAATAGAGAGTGTGGATAGGGGTTAACAGAATAGAGAATAATGGGCAAAAAATAGAGAAAAATGGACTAAAAAAATAAAGAATAGAATATAATGAGGTGCTAAAATATAAAGAATAGAGAATAATGGGCAAAAAGTATAAAGAATAGAGAAAAATGGCCTTAAAAAATAAAGAATACAGAAATGAAGGAGCCCATCCAGACCCTCATGATAAAGTAAGGAAGTAAGTAATCTTTATCTCATCTATTGTCTTGTTTCCATATTCTAGTACCTGTACATTCAATCTATCTCTTTAACAAACTGATAATAAAATAACAAAATCAAGCATAGAAGAGCAGTAGATACAAATACAATACCAACAAGCAATAAATAGCTTTAAGCATATGATAACATCACAGACAAAGCACATACAATATATAAAGAACATAGCAGCTTATTGATATAAAACACCTACAAGCAATACAAGCAGAATCAATAGACAAAGAACATACAATATATAAAGAACATATCAGCTTATTCATATAAAAAACCTACAAGCAATACAAGCAGAATCAATAGACAAAGTACCTACAATATATTAAGAGGATGGTAGCTCATTCATTTATAAAGCCTATGAGCAATAAAAGCAGAATACATAAACCAGTATATGAATATAGACAAAGCACATAATATATAATGTACATAGAAGAATATTCATATTAAACCCATACAAGCAATACAAGCAGAAGGGTGATCGAATGTTGGCACCTGTTCAAACGTTTAAACCCGCTGCATTTGTTTGCACCTGTCCTAAGTCAGGAACCTGTTTCAGTGGTTATCGTTTGTTGATGTGGTTCTTAAGTGTTTCTCGTTTCTGTTTTTTTATATAGATTAGACCGTTGGTTTTCCTGTTTGAATTGTTTTACACTAGTCATTTTGGGGCCCTTTATAGCTTGCTGTTTGGTGTGAGCCAAGACTCCTTGTTGAAGGCCGTACTTTGACCTATAATTGTTTACTTTTTACACATTGTGACTTGGATAGAGAGTTGTCTCATTGGCACTCATACCTCATCTTCTTATTTCTATAGAATATATCAATAAAGACAAAGCACATACACTACATAAAGAATATATAGTTCATATAAAACACATACAAGCAATAAAAAGCAGAAGATATCAACACGGACAAAGCAATGAAAAAATAAAGCCCTTCTAGAATGACAATCATATGAGTGTAAGAAGCTACAGCACTGTTTTCGCTTAAGCAAAATTAAAGAAGAGGGCTATTTGTTATAGTGAAAGACAGCAAATTATTATATATCAAGGATGAAAAACAAAAAATATAAATAAAGCTAAAAGCACAGCAGGCTTCAATGTTTTCTTACTCTCTTAAGAGATGCAAAAAGAAGAAGCATTCACACAATATTGTTTATAGTACATATTTACTAATTCAATACAAGATGACCATCTTGAATTGACGTGATAAAACTTGTGCAAATGTCATTTCCATATTCTGCCAAATTGTTTCTGTTTCACAAATTAATAAATAAATTTGGTGTATTTACTGTCTTCTGATTGGTTAAAAGTATTACCTTTATTTTCAATGTTGGTAATTTTTATGGCGACACGCCCACTCTGACGTTGTGTATTCATACGCCAACATGTGTGTACGTTGTTATTGTTAATATAAACAATATAAAAAGCTCTTTGAGCCTTATTTTTTATAGAAATTTATTTATAATGAATGGCTATTATTTATTTTGAATTTATTGAACCATAAAATTAATTCGCGGATTATTCAATGTGAAGAGTCCAAAATTAATTTTATGGTTCAATAAATTCAAAATAAATAATAGCCATTCATTAAATATACTGTTTTCCCATTCTATAAAAGTTTAATCAGAATATGTGATTCTGGTACAGGCACTTATCACCCTACAGTATTTTTACACAAAAAAATAATAGTGAGTAAGAAAAAAAACCAATACTTTTCCTGAAACCTTTGTTATATTGAATTGGAAAATAAAAATATATGCGTAGTAAGCCTAATTTATTCAAAAGAGATGTAGGACTGCAACTTTGAGCCTGCGATGTATATTTCATCATGAATTCCCTCTCCCCATGTAGTATATTTAAGTAAGGAATACTTTTTTGCAAGACCTAAACTTAAAACTGAGAGGGAATAAAGCTTAGCTGTAGGAAACACATATTTGGCCCCAAAAAAAGACAGTTACCATGTCAGACTTCAACTTTTAGTTTATTTTGTTGCTTTCCCTGTTGGTGCCAAATTTAGGGAGCTACCAATTGATTTTTAGGGGGGGGGGGGGGGGAGGGGGTAGGATGAAATTTGAAAAAAGGCAGGACAGGAGTTTTGAGTTAAAAAAAGGCAGGATGAGCAACTTGGCAAAAAAAGGCAGGATGACAATTTATGTAAAAAAAAGTCAGGATAAACTAATGAAAAAAAGGCAGGACCGAATAGAGTGAAAAATTAAAAGGCAGGACAGAGATTTCAACTAAAAAAATGCAGGACAAAATTTTACATTCTACATTCCAGCCCCCCACCCCACTTAAAAACAAATGGAAGCTCCCTTAGATGTTTTGATGGATAAAAATTTAAGCAGCTTCTTTCAAGTCTTGAAGTGATGGGACTGCAATTATAATTGGGCCTTTGTTTTTACCATTTTCTTTAATGTCCTGTCCAAATAACCAATAGAGACGTACCTCTTAGTACAATTTGTATGTTTTAGCCTGATGTAGATAAAATCTGTGTTATAGGAAACTTGGAAAACATATACAAATTAGTGCAAAAACGCCTCTAATGACGGGCTGCAACTTTGAGCCTCAGGTTGCTTTCACTGGAGGTGTGTGCCCAACCAACAAAGTTATATTTACCACAAAAGGAACATTTTTAAATAAAGACAAATGTTGGCAGACGCTTTACCATAAGGAATGGAAATTAGAAATAGAAGCTGACCTTAAAGTTATGTGGGACTGCAACTTTTAGCTTGAGGAGTTACTTTTTTCAAATGTGTCCCTACCAGGTTCTATAAGGTGAGACATACCTGTCAGCAGGATCTTTCTTTTACACCAGGTTCTGAAAAGAAACCCTTACAGAAAGAACTTCGAAAGGCTTATTAGACAGCGATGTTGGAGGGCAAGGTTAGGCTTATGGTGTGGCTTTTACCAGGGTTGTTCCAAAGAAATACCTCCTGGAGCTAAACCTTTAGGTAATATCTGGGACATAATATAGTATAATAGTCCCAGGTAATATCTTGGAATTTTAAACACAAATGGGCAAACGTTTTGCCATATGCAATTTGAAAAAAATACAATTTGATCTAAAACCTTTGCCAGATTCATACTTGGGCATGTGATGTGATTTTTGCAGCAGTTGCCCAACCAGGACATTAGGAAGGATGCAGCTCTATCCAGCACCTACAACTTAATCTGTTTGAATAAAAGCTTTGCAAAATAAAAGCTGGAGATAAGTTGCCGAAAATAAAACTTACACTAGACTACAACTTAGGTTATATTGAAGTTTTCACATCAATATATGTCATTGTTTCAAGCCTTATACAACATAATACGCCATAATATTAATTGCAAGCCGTAGTTTACAGAATTGAGAATAATGGCCAAACAGAATAAAGGAATAGAGAAATAATTAGCAAAACATAATAAATAGAGAATAATGGGGTGCAAAAGTATAAAGAATAATTGTGGAAAATTAAAAAAATCGGCAATTACAACACTGATTACAGAAATGAACGATGTACAGAATAAAGAAATCATGTAGTAATATTAGACAGATTTAATAGTAAAATATTTTCCATGAGAATTTTTTACAGAATTATTATACTTTATTTTGAAAGATACAGAAAAATTACCCCCCCCCCCCCTTTCCAAAAACATATCTTAGAAAGCAAATAAGCCCCCTCCCCCCCCCCCCCCCAAAAAAAAAAAAAAAAACAACAACACAAAAACAAAAACAAATCCAGACCTCATGTAAAGGTGAGGCAGATTTGAAATGGAAAAGGGAAACAATGAATATAATTAAATAAATGAATAGCTAAAATCAACCAAAATTCAACTTGTCTGACGGAGTATCCTCGGGGACTAGCAGTCCATGGCCAGTGGTATCGACACAGCGCTAGAATATAAAAATAACTCTTTATACATTTCAATTTTGGCGCGTCAGAATCACCTTTCCGGATTTACCTTCAATCACCAGGCAGGGCAGAACGCTTTCGAAAGTAAAAAAAAAAGTATAAGTCAATGACTTACGAAAATATTTGAATACTTGAGGATGTATATGATACTAGAGGCTCTAAAGAGCCTGTGATGCTCACCTAGGTCTATGTGCATAATAAACAATGGACTCTCTCCAACTTTGTAGACAAGAAAAGAGTTCATGAGGAAAATTTCTTTTTTATTGATCTTGTATTGCTGATCATTTTGTCTGTTTAGTTTCTCTCTATCTTCTTTAGTTTTTTCTCAAAACACAAAAGACCTAGGGTTAAAAAAATCCCCATTTAAGGGCAATCACTCCCATAAAGAGTGAAAGTCTACTAACTATATCGACAAAATTTGACTTGTTTGTGGATCTTGCCTTGCTGATCATTTTTGTTATTTAAAGTCTCTATTTATCTATTACAATTCTTATCATATAAGGCAAAATGCAAAAAAAAAAACATAAAAATCGTCATGAAAAGGCAAAAACTCCAATAAAGAGACTCCGAGTTGGTTGTAGACCTTTTCTTCCGGCTCATTTTTGCTTATTTAAGTTAAAAAAACTTTCCATCTATCTATTATAATGTTTAAGATTAAGGCAAAACACAATAAATGGAAAAATTGTCATCAAAGGGCAATAAATCTAATTAGGAGTCGACTGACGATTTCAACCATGCATACTTTTTCGTAGATTTTGCTGATCATTTTTGCAACTTAAAAAATTTTCTCTATCAATTATAGTTTTCAAGATAAAAGGCAACAATGAAAAAAATGGTAAAATTTGTCATTTAAGGGCAATAACTCCTATAAGAAGTCGCTTGACAGTTTTGACGCCAATGAACAATTGGTAGATCTCAACATTCTGAACATTTTTACCCTGTCAGAATTTCTTTTTATAACAGTTTTCAAACTGATAGAAATAACATGCATTTTACCCCTATGTTCTACGTCTAGCCATGTCGGCCATCTTGGTTGACGGGCGGGGTCATCAGACACATTTTTGTTTAAACTAGATACCCCAATAATGATTGTGGCCAAGTTTGGTTAAATTTGACCTAGTAGTGTCAGAGGAGAAGATTTTTGTAAAAGTTAACGACGACGGATGACGACGGAAGACGGACGAGAAGTGATGAGAAAAGCTCAATTGGCCCTTTGGGGCAGTTGAGCAAAAAAGGGGACCTAAAACAAATAGTCAAAATCTACCCATGTTCATATTTGCCTCAGGAAGTCGGAACATTAATTGTCTTATAATTTCTTAAATTATCGAAGATGCATATGTTTATGTAACAGGTACGTAAATCTCCGATCCCAATGATTTTTATGTAATTTTGCAAGCAACCAGAGCATGTGGAACTGCATATGAACATCGAAAAAACATAATTAACTTTTATAATCATGATAGGAATTATAGCAAGTTGCGTATTCTGTAGAAACTTGGACTATATTATATCCCAGGTAGAAAGAAGTATAATTGTCTTTTCTCAAAAACCGGTCCTACGAATTTCTTTAAAACAAGTATGTCATTGACATACTTTTCGTTTTATTGATTAGGACATTATAGGGAGTCGCCGAGTACATTTTTGTGTATAAATCATTTCAAGTATCAATCAAAGCACTGACGTAGTAGCTAACAAGGATAAGCCCGGCCAAGATCTGATGGCTGACAAATAAATAATACAGAATTCTACCTCCCTGAAAACTGCTAGAAGTAACTTGCAGTTGTTTTCTTACGACCTTTAAAAAATAGAGAAAAATGGACAAAAAAATAATAAATAGAGAATAATGAGGTGCTAAAATATAAAGAATAGACAATAATGGACAAAGAGTATAAGTCTTGGAATAGAGAAAAATGGCAATTTTTTTGTAAAGAATACAGAAATAAAGGACCCCTTTCAAGACTCTCATACATGAAATAGAGCCGAATGGCATTTCTATTTACAAATTAGTATACTTTAAAAAAAAAAATAACTGTTGCCCATGTTCATTCAAATTTTGTCCCGTGGAGAGACGGTAAAATAACTTTGATGTAATGATTTTATTTTAACGTCATGTCAAAACTGTGTTCACGGTGTTTGTCTTTGTTGTTTCGCGTCCGCTGACTGTTTTTTTCTTCGGATCTCGTCACGAGGTATACCCAGCCCAGTAGTCAACATTCGTGTAATGAAATTAAAGATCATTCATGCAGTCATGTTCTGTAAAGTTAAGTAAATGTCTGTTTCTGCTTTTTATTGCTTAGTCTCGTTAATGTGGAGGTGCAACACTTTTTTTAATGATTCAAGTGTGGGTATGGATTGAAAGAATTGTTTCACGAAAAAAAAATCCTTAAAAAAATCATTTATAGGTTTCAAATTTTCGCTTTAAGAAATCCGTGCGACTTCAATAATGTTCAATAAACTAGGTAAGTCAGGGATTGAATTTTTCTAACCATAAAGAAATATGAATGACAAGCATGAAAAGTAGTTCTATGAGGATCAATCATGATTTGGTAAAAAAAAATCACCAAAATGTGTGTTGCGTTTCTAAAGTCCGTCAGTATATATATTGTTCTAGACGCCCAGATCATAGACATAATCTCGTTCAAAATAAAAATAACAGAGCTGATTTACCAAAAATATGGATACAGTTTGCTATAAAAACAATTAAAAACAAGAATTATTTTGTGACTAGCCGCTGTTTTGTATACCACCTCTCTGGAGAAAGGGCTACGTATGTTGGAGGGATTTTCATCAACACAATAACAACTATACGAAACTCTTGCGTGTCTTTCCCCAGGACTGTGAGTCACCAATTCCGATTTTGCTGCAGAATAAAACCAAAAATTTAAATTGTAACAAATGTCCGGGATTCAAAGGACAATAAAACGACCCAAGCCAGATATTGGTTCATCAGAATCATCTTCAGATGATAGTGAAATTGACAAATTTATTCTTATAATTAAATCAACCACAAATGACCGAAAACATAGCATTAAAGCAAGGGACAAAATGTGTATCAGACCATTTGTTTCTAGATGGACGACACAAACAGTTGAAAGAAACCTTAACATCTTTTACAAACACTTAGTCAGTGGTACAGACGTGCTCCATAGGGGTGGTATAGCAATTGCATTAACAGACATACAAAATCAGTTCATGGAATACTTGAAGAGTGTTCTACATTTTTCTGAGAATCTTGATGGATTTAGGCTCTATGCTTCTAGAATAAAACTACAGTTGACAGATGTAAAGCAGGAATTGTTGAGGTCTGGTGCATTCAAAAGTAATCAGATGTATGTAATTAATCTTAAACATCCAAACTTAATAGCTCATATTTTAATTTCTTATATGTAGACATGATAGGGTTGGTCTTTTGATAATGCAATTTAAAAACTGTATCACCCAATTACATAAAAAAATAGTGGGTAAAAACCCCAATTTGTGAATTCTTATCTGGAGCTCTGTAATTGAAAAGTAAAGACCATATAAGAAAATATACAATGAAATACAGACAATGTAAATCCGGAAAAAGTATTGCTGGATCCGGAAGCGTTTTTTTTTTTTTAATTTTGATTCTCAACTTAACATCACTAATGCACATAAAAATGTGAAAAAACATGACAATAGGATTACATTTTACGTTATTTAAATGATTTTATTGTTTTATTGTGTAACATTACCGTTTTTCTTAAGGATTAGTGGTCTTTTTGAGTGTTCAGTGATGTTCGGCGGTGTGCGGTGGTGTTCAGTGGTGAAAAGACCCACCCGACATGATAGAGCATCTACCATACATTTGCCATTTATATATAGGATCCAATTGACACAATTGAGGAAGAGTTACTTCCCTTTTGTCGCCATGTTGGAGGTCTAATTATTTTGTATTGGAATGTCATTTATACATCTTATATATATGCAGCATCAAGAAATGTTTTGCAAGATCATGAAGATAGTCGATTTATTAAATATCCAAATTTGAGAATACTAAACTTAGAGAATTTATTCATTTGGATTATGTCAAATGACGACAAAAGCTTTATTACATCTTTATGCAAATACCTGAACATAAGTTTTGTAACACATGAAACTAGAAAACTAAGAATGGGAAAATAAATTTACCAAATTGACACACCTAACTGCAGGTTTTTAGTGACATTATATAGATTGGAGTTATCTTTCTTTCACCCAGCTGGCTCTCTCTCAAATTGTTTATCTTTACACAAGTTATATAAATCATAAAATAATGTTTAATGAATGTTTTTGTCTAAAATGAATGTATACATGTTTGTCTCTTTATTATTTTCTTGTTTGTAATTGATATGCCTTTAAAGGCATGTAAGGGCCCTTTAATTAGGAAATAAAATGATTTGATTCAAATGCACAAATTCCTTCATAAATCATCCAAATTCAACTTGTGATACTGACCACTAGAATTTTCCAAAAGTCACATACATGTACATCATGTACATGATGTACATGAACAAAGAATTTTTTTATGTCTGAAAAAATTTCAACTTCTTTTGGCCTAAATGCTTGATTCATCACTATCATGACTATGATGTAGTAAGGATCTTTTATCAGACTTGTGTGCACGGAATTTGGTTAGTCAATTGAGAAAATCAACAGTTTACCCAATCTAATTAAAATTAAATCCTTTAATTGCTCCCCTTCTGATATGTCCCGCATCAAGGATATATCAGAACAGAAGCAATTAAAGGATTTAATTTTAATTAGATTGTATTAAAACCTGCAGCATTAATATCATGATTATTAAAGAATCAAATTCAAATCAATTATTATATATGTACACTGATCCTCTATTATGTTGAATGTTGTTTATTTTTTCAGGTCTCTGCAGTACTTCATACAGCTTTTGGAAAATCTCTGTGACAAAGCTTCCATGGAAGAGCCAGAATATGGTACACTTTTTACAGAGCTAGTGTCACGTTTTGCTGAAGTTTGTTTATTGATGCCATAGTAGGTCTTATTTATATAGGTAGAGGTATAGGTGTAGGGTTGAGATCTCACAATACATGTTTTACTCCGCTGCATTTTTGCGCCTGTCCAAAGTAAGGAGCCCCTGGCCTTTATTAGTCTTTGACCTATAATGGTTCACTTTTACAAATTGTGACTTGGATGGAGAGTTGTCTCATTGGCACTCATACCACATCTTCTTATATCTATTGTATGTTTTTTTAATTTTAGTTCATTTATATGTTTTGGAGTTTGGTGTGACGTCCATTTTCATTGAACTAGTACACATTTTGTTTAGGGGCCAGCTGAAGCCTGCCTCCGGGTGCGGGATTTTCTCGCTGTGTTGAATACCCATTGGTGGTCTTCAGCTATTTTCTGCTCTTTGGTTGGGTTGTTGCATTTGTCTCTTTGACACATTCCCCATTTCCATTCTCAATTTTATTTTTAGATAAACATGATAAAGCATGAAAAAAACTTTAAGGAATGATACAGACATGACAGAATTGAGTAAAACGGAAATATCCTCAGGAAATACAAATGTCCATCTAATCAAAGTTTTTGATGATTCATACCTGCCAATTTTTGAAATCTCCATTGGGGATTTTAAGTGCAAGAATTTATAATTCTTCTCTTATAATGTAATTATAAGTTTTATTAATCATGTTAATCTATTATGATATTATTTGAATGAGTACATGTATGTATGTGCTTAAATACCATTTCAACTCATTTGAATGCCTGTTTTGAGGTGTTCAGCTTATTTAATAAAGAATTTCAAAATTCAGGTAAACACCTCTCATTGGCATGATTGGGGAAATCCACAAGAAATCGTGAAAGTTGGCAGGTTTTGATTGATGTGTTAAGACCTTTCAAAATCCCAATTATGTTTCACATATATTTTTATCTGGAATAAAATAATGAATAAAACAACATACATATTATTTTGTTCAAAATTTTACAATGTTCGTTTGCTCTCGACAAAGTCCTGGAGGTGAGACATAGGTGTGCTTTTTTTGTGGCGTCATCATTTTGTTTAAGTTCATGATCATGTCAGTGGGGAATTACTAATGGTAAGTTAATGATATTAGGTATGTAGTTGTATAAGCATGAACTCATATGACATGTATGCTGTAGAGGAACATAAAGAAAATCAGAATAATTTTTTCTGCATAAGTATATACGTAATATATGAAATTAAGTACTTGACAGTTCAGCATTGTTTTGAATTTCTTTTTTAAACAATACATTTGTTGTTTTTTGTAGACTGTTGTTTGTCTTATTTTTGTAATTTGCCACGATGTTGCCCATTTGTCTTTGACTTATGAGTTTGAATATCCCTTTGGTATCTTCTGCGTCTCTCCTTTGGAACAAATCTTGAAGTACAGTTGGGGGGGGGGGGGATATAACCAGCACATTTTTTGTGAAACATTTAAAAAATCATGCCACGCTTCCTCTTAATTGTTTAAACTTAAAGGACCCTCTTGGAATTAAAATAAGTGGAAAGGCTTTCATGAAAGGTTATCCTTGGAAGGATACATGTATCAACTTGTAAGGACATTTTACTTTTTAGCCTTGACATACTAACTTACTTGTTACATTTTGATTATTAATATTTTTTAAACTGCACTAAGTCATGTAAGTCTTGTATATTTATAGTTTATTTATAGTTAATATTGGTTCCTAAATGAAATTTTACCTTTAACTTTTAAGATCCAGGGCTTAACTAGACAAAAATGTAAAGTTCTGAATATATGTATAAAAATAAGGAGATTTGGTATGATTGCCAATGAGCATAATGAGACAACTATCCACCAAAGTTCAAATGACATGGATGTAAGCAATTATAAATCACTAAATGGTTTTCAACAATGAGAAAAATCTGTATCAGATAGTCAGCTATAAAAGCTCCCCCCCCCCCCAATAAAAAAACTTCTGAAATAATTCAAATGAGAAAACCAACAATCTAGTGTCCATAAAGAACTAGTATTCTACATTCATTTCAACTCTCATCTCAACAGTTACCTTCTAATTCATATACTGAAACAATTATGAAATATTCTTACTTTAACTCTGAAAAAAAAATTTAAAAAATGAAAAAAAAAAAATCATTTTTTTAATTTATTTAATAATTGGATATTTTATACATGTTATATGCTTTATATAAATGGTTGTAATTTTCACTTTTGCATTTCAGCAATCATCCAGAAAGATCTTGTTGGGAGGATTTCTTAGGAAGACCAGGATTCAATCTGACATCCACTCCAGATCTTCGTTTCTACAGATATGGCTTTGATCATTCTAAATCAAGGTCGTCCTTTTGTGTAGTTCAGGTACTTGTACAACAATTTTGATAATTAGCCAATCACTGATTTGTATTTCTGCAGTGATGTTCTGCCATAAAGTTGTTTGTCACATAAAAATCAAATAAAATGCTGTATTTTCACATTTATTTTCCAGTAAATGTGAAGTTTTGTTAATTGTAATATATTTGAAGTGTAAAAAAACATAATTATAATAATCAAAGGCGTATTTATAAAAAAATGAACTAAACTTTAAAACATCTATATTTAGACCCTGATACTGACATTATGAGAAATCACCAATCACCCCAAAACTATTTACCCTAAAAGATATTTTGCTACAAGCATGACAAGATGTCTAATACCAAGATGTTAATTAATGAGAGTAAAATATATTTTAAGGTAAGGCAATTGGCTCATAATTAATTTGACCAAAAACTGTGTACTATACAAGATTTTTTTAAGGTCAAAAATATCAATTTTAAACATGTTTATGATGTCATCACAACTGACTGTTTTTTAACTTAATTTCCAGATAATATCACCATATTTATTTATTAGTAGAACTAACATAATTTTAAACAGACTAAAGAATTAAACTTTTTTGACAATTTCCTAAATTGTTGGTTTTAAAGGTATTTTTCTGACTAAATTGAAAACAATTATTCTTTTTGATATATTGTAAGTTTTACTGTTTCTATAATATACGAGAGGAGGTGAAATGGGGGTGCTTATTTCCCAAAGCCCGCTTTTTTGTAATTTTTTCCCACTCCCAATTTTTTTCCTTCTTTTTTCCAGATCCCACTATTTTAACCCCCTATTTCCCACATCCCCACTATTATTACCCCCTATATCCCCCTCCTACTATGATGCAAAGCATAACACTTAAAAAAATTACATTTAAATTATGCATTTGAGACTATGTCCAATTTTAAATGACACAAGAACTATAAAAACTCTATCCACATGAGAATAAATTTGAATAATTTTACATCATTGTGTAGTAATTTGTGTTAAACGAAACATATAAATTTATTTATAATGATGCACTTATAATTTCTGATTAAAAAAATCCAGAGAAATTATCCAGCATTTATGACAAAGTAAATGGTTATACCTTCGTAAATACTCTGATATGACACATAATCTAAATCAAGAGGAAACTAAAGGAAATATTTCAGCTTTTATATTTATCTCTTTTTTTGTCCCGTCTGTTCTGTCTTGTTAGCGCCCTGATATGTACAATACTTGCCAGATTTTTTTAGAAATTATATCATAGGTTTCTATCAGCAATCTCTCAGACAATTTTTAAAATCAGTGCCAATCAATTATTTCTGAATGAGTTATGCCTCTTGGAAATATAAAATATATGGAAAATTGCATTATTTGTAAGCACTCTCTTGTGTACAATTCTCGCCAGATTCAGTAGGTAAATTATGTAAAAAATCAAGACTTGCATCAAAAATATCCCAATATGCGAGACAATGGCGTCATTTTTCCTTAGAGCTTTCAGCTCTTTGATTACTGACCAGAGTTTATAGTGCATGTTTTAACACTTACATAATCTATCTTACTAAAGAAAAAAATTACTGTAAATTCAAAAGGTCTTGCAATGTTTTTATAATCATGATAATTGTGACATGATAGGTTTTGCAATGTTTTTATATCATGATAGGTTTTGCAATGTTTTTATGAGAATAATAATTGTGACATGATAGGTTTTGCAAAAGCATGACAAATCAAATCTTGTATCTTTACTTTTGATACTTTGATTTTTTATGCAGCATTTTCTGAAATCTAAAATTTTTGTCCATTGTTCAACACTCACAATATAAAATGGTTACAAAATTTTCTGAATTTATAGTAATTTTTGTTTTGGATCTCCGGGAAATATAGGAGAAAAAGTCTCATTTCATAGAAAAAAAATTAAGAAACCACAATTATTTATTGTAACAATAAATCTATTTCAGACCAATAATATGCCAAAAGACACTACAGAACCTTGTAGAAAAAAGCAAAAGAAAAAATTTGATTCAGAGTCTGAAACCTCAGGTGATGATGATATTCAATATTCCAGAACATCACTGGAAGATAGATTGAAAGGCAGACATGCTGGAGCACTGTTAGTTGACTTGCATACTATTGTAAAGGAGAAACATGATGACACTTGCATAGAATACTCAATGCCAGGAATGTTAGTTGATGGAACAAGGGTAAATATATTTGTTACATTTTGTGCTATACAAGCCTTATTTGAACTAATGTTGGACTGTTACACCATCATTCCAAGTTACCGGTGGCTTGAGCGCTCAAAAACATGTTTTTTACCCCACTACATTCTATATGTGTCTTTCCCAAGTCAGGAGTCTGTATTCAGTGGTTGTTGTTGGTTGCTGTCTGTCAATTGTTCGCCTATAGTGATCAGTCTGTCCGTCCGTCTGTACGTCCGTAACAAATATTGTTTCCGCTCTATATCTAGAGAACTGTTATAAATTCATACTTTATACTTGACATGTATATTAACCAACACCAGAGGGTGTGTCATGATGTTTGTACAACTTCCTAGGTCAAAGTTCAAGGTCAGTGGGACCCACAGAGATGGCTCCCATCTCAATGATGTCTAGTTTGAATTGTTTCACATTTTAACATGTCAGGGCCTTTTATAGCTGACTATATGGTAAGGTTTTGCTCATTATTGAATGTCATACTGAGTCTGAGACCTATATTTGCTTACATCCATGTCATTCAGACTCTGGTGCTTAATTGTTTCATTTACAATCATTTGGTGCTTCTGTAATGTTTTTAATATATATGATCATCCTCTATATTTTTCTCAATCAACATTTAAATAAATACTCCTTGATAATTACAGGTTCTTTAAAAATCTATTTCTAATGTGTAATACAAAACCCAGTATAACACAAATAAAAATATTCCATTTTATAACTATCTTATTTCATGACTGGATTTTTTTCTTTGTTTCTTTGTATTTCTATCCATATGACTGAATGTCAATTTCTATATCGTAATATTTATAAATTAAATTTTGACTTGTTTGGGTATTTCCTTTTGCATGACCATTGTTGAAGACCGCATAATGACCAATCATACATAAATGCTTGTCTATGAGTGTCTGGATGGTGGGTATATCATTTCTGTGTTCTTTAATTTTTCAAGCCATTATTTTCAATTCTTTATTTTTTTGTCCAGTATACATGTACACTATCCTTTATATTTAAGCACCCCTGAGCATTCTTTATTCTGCATTTTTTTGGTCCATTGTTTCTCTATTCTTTGATTTTTGGTCGTTTATTCTCTATTTTTTTAACCATTATTTTCTATTTTGTAAATCCTTTCCGTGAATTTAACTGTATGGTTTTGTTGCAGCGTGTCGCATTGAAATTAACCCTATTTTTTAATTTTTTATTTCTTCTCATTTTAGGTTTGTTTAACAATGTTGGTTATATCAAAAGACCATTATGAGAAACTTAAAGTTGGTCAAGAACTGACCAAAGATGATGCAGCAACAATATACTACAGTACCTTTTATGACATTTTATTGCAATCTCAACGTAATGATCTCATTGAGTTATTTTTATGTCTAAATAATATGACTTAACATTGAGAGTTGTATGCAAGCATTTCATGTTATTAATCTGCTGATAAAAGATCTGTGAAAAATACTTATAAAAGCTGCTGATAAAAGATCTATGAAAAATACAGATAAAAGCTGCTGATAAAAGATCTGTGAAAGCTGCAGATAAAAGATCTGGGGAAAGCTGTCGATAAAATCTGCCGATAAAAATCTGGGGAAAGCTGTTAATAAAAAATCTGTAAAAGCATGCCATGAATTTAACTATTTCAGTCAGGATGCTTCATTTGTGAATTTGTGTGAAACATAAAGTTAGACATACTGTGTAGGAAAATGGTTAAAGGAATAATATTTGATTTGACATTTAAAAAATATTGAGAAACAGAGTATTCAATTACTGTGGATGCATCTACTTTCTTGGCTAACAATTTTCATTGATTGAGGTAAAATGGTATTTTCACGAATATTTGATTTTGTAATATTGCTCAAAGTTTGTTTACAATTCTATAGTCAATTTATACTTCCTAGTACACTTAAATTAGTGGTTTTCCATTACTCATGAAATCACCAAAAATTAGTAACCCACGAAAAAAATTTATTCCACAGTAATGCTTTACCCAAATTATTAGGGTATACTAGTAATCAAATTACATGTGTAGTATTTTTTACAATGAAAAATCACTGTCACACCGAAATGATTATGGCATTGTCATTTTCGTTTTAGGTTTTCAATGCTCTTCAACTTCATTTTTTATTTGGCCATTTAACTGTTTTGATTCGAGCGTCACTGACGAGTCTTATGAAGAGGAAACATGTGTCTGGCCTACAAAATTTAATTTGGTATCTATGATGAGTTTATTGTTTACATTTCCCTCAATAACCATTTATTGTAAATCTCATCTAATCTATTGGATTTAGAGAGGGACTTAGAGAAGCTGACAACATCATTGCAATGAACAAAAAACAACAGTATAAAAACACTTCATAAAAACTAAAGATTGAGCAACATGGAGATTATTGTAAAGAACTGCAGTCACTTTCGAGACACGACACTTGAAGAGTGTCTCCTTTATTTTCAAAATTATGAATTGTCTGTCTCTTAAATACAAATTATATGTATTGCTGATCTTCACCAGAATGCCTTCAACATGAAACAAAAGCAAAAACCTCTGCTCACTGAATGTTCAAGAAGAAGGCTCCTGTCATCAGTTTGAGTGGAATTTGTTGTCAACATTAAAATGCTGTGAAATGATAATACTTATACAATTTCTTACCACCAAAAATTTACGAATATATATATATACATTTATAAACAAGACTAAATTGAAAACAACGTTCAAACCTATGATTGTGTTGGATAAAAATCACAATTTTTATACGTGTCCATGCAAAATAAATTCTTGGTAGAGGGGTCTAAATAAAGCACAAACAAAATTTTCAAAAAAGACCAAAACCGTGAAAAAGTATATTTTAACAAAACGCATTTGACTAGCAGGTCGAACAACGAATGTTCCTAAACCCTGCTGACTGCCATGGCGACTGCCAAATAAACAGATCACCAGATGTAACAAAATGGATCTTAATTATTAATTTGATACTAAACAGAAAACAATAAACTTGCGGAAAAGATGGTATACCGCAAACATGAGGTGCAAAAATTTGTACACCATATCTGGATTTCGACAATTAATGTCTCTTCAGTGATGTTAGGAATAGAAACGGTATTTGGAAGGCCATATAATTTACCTCAATTTAGGATTTACTCTTGAACTTTGAAGAGTTGAAATAGGACGAACGGATTATATAAACCTGAAGGCAAATATAATACAAACCCAAACGAAAAAATATAAACAAGACTATATATATAATTGGGAAAAATTCGGTTGATTATTTAAGGAATCACTGGAGCGGGTTCCCTCTTGTGGCAGTCAGTGGGCCCCCTTTATGAAAATTTCTGGATCCGCCACTGCAGTATGAATGAGTGCCAGTATCAAATGCATGACTATATATTCAGCTATAACAGCACACACTTAGCACCAGAAGCTTTACGAGTTGATGTACAAATGTATTCCTTTAAAACATCCAAGCAACCAACAAGTAGCGACATATATGGTTAATGCATAGACATTTTACAAGTCCGACTCCTAAAGTTATATCCTGTCAGTCCCACTTTTAAAATCCTTAAGTCGCATCTCCTTTGATGTGTATAAATTATACATTAAAGAAGGCACAAGAAAAAAAATCAAAACAACTAACTCGAGATCATTGTATAGTCACTTTTTTTTTCAAAAGTCTCATCTCCCAACTGTGATTGTCGTTGGACGTTTTCTATAAGTGCAGATCTCGTCTTATCAGAGTTGAAATTGTGGAAATTAATCGGGAATTTTCTTCTTCTAAATGTATGTCCTTATTCAAACAAAAAATTCTCTGAAACTGACATTATCAAGATGCTTGATTTCTTGATTGACAACATATTGGTTACGTTTGGAGGAAGTGTTTTTCAACAGACTGTCGGAATTCCAATGGGAACCAATTGTGCCCCTCTTCTTGCCGACTTGTTTCTTTATTATTATGAGGCTGACTTCATACAGGAACTTCTTAGGAAGAAAGATAAGAAGTTAGCAATATCCTTTAACTTTACGTTCCGCTATATAGATGATGTTCTCTCACTAAATAATACAAAATTTGGTGACTATGTTGAACGAATCTATCCCATCGAACTAGAGATAAAGGATACTACAGATACAGTTAAGTCTGCCTCATATCTTGACTTGCATCTAGAAATTGACAATGAGGGTCGGTTGAAAACAAATCTTAACGACAAAAGAGATGATATATTCCCAATTGTGAACGTTCCATTTCTATGTAGCAACATTCCAGCAGCGCCTGCATACGGAGTATATATCTCCCAATTGATACGATATTCCCGTGCTGGTATTTCCTATCATGATTTCCTTGATAGAGGATTGCTGCTCACAAGGAAGCTATTAAACCAAGAGTTCCAAATGGTGAAGTTGAAATCATCCCTTCGTAAATTTTACGGACGCCATCACGAGTTGGTTGACCGTTATGGAATAATCGTTTCACAGATGATATCGGATATGTTCCTTATGTCGTAACTACAATACCCTTCCCTTTTCACGAATGTGACCTACCGAATTAGACTATTTACCGGATTTGTAATAACATAAGCAACACGACGGGTGCCACATGTGGAGCAGGATCTGCTTATCCTTCCGGAGCACCTGAGATAACCCCCCGTTTTTGGTGGGATTCGTGTTAGCTTAGTCTTTAGTTTTCTATGTTGTGTCATCTGTACTATTATTTGTCTGTTTGTCTTTTTATTTTTGGCCATGCCGGGCGTTGTCAGTTTGTTTTCGATCTATGAGTTTGTTTGACTGTCCCTCTGGTATCTTTCGTCCCTCTTTTCCAATTATGGAACACCTCCTCAACGGATATTATCCAGATGGGGAGTTAATTAAAACTTAAATAGTATGCACTAAAAGTTTTCCACAAATAGCTAAAAAAAATTTTTAGATTCACTGTACATGGATAAAATCTAATATATTTAAGGACTGATAAAAAAAAATACGCAATAAAAAGGTAAAAATATCTAGGCCTTGTCAATATGTATTTTAAGATTTACTGTACACAACTAAAATCTAAAAATATAGGGTGCTTTATACAATGGAAAGCAGGACACCCCTGCCTCTACCTTTACACATATGTACATAGTGTTCATATCATATCTTTCCTTATTACACTGATTGTATTATCTATATATTTAGCGAGACAGTTATTATTTTCCTTGTAATTTCCATACACGCTGAGAATGGAGTCTATAACACATGTCCGTAGCTAATCTGAATTTTGTCCAATTCGGCCCTATTTCTAAGCTTTGGCAGCAGAAAAGAACTGTCGACATTAAGTCGAATTTTAATTTTAAGGTGAGTTGTCTGCTTGGATAGAACGGGAAAGGGCGACAGAGTTTCATTTTTCATCAGTGTCTTCGCGTACCCGCATGCGGGTACGAATAGTCAAATTGCCATTCATAGGCTACGCGTACCCACATCCGGTTTTATAATAAAATGCCATCGGATCAGGAATGAAACGTGAAATATATACGAAAATTATCGATAATATGGGGATTTCGTGTAGAACGAGTGAAGAGTATGAAAAATAATATTTTCAAATTGTATTTATTAGATAATGATACATGATAAACATTGCAAATTAAATGCACACTGATGGAAAATGAAACTGTACAGTCCCTGTAATAGTAAAACATGATAAAAATTAATACTATTATAAAATGTAAATGCAAATTTAAAGAATAAAATTTAACTGATTTTGAAAAATACCCATATGAGATTTAAAAATAATCTTTTAGTAAAATGTAAAACAGAAACTGAAATTTTAAAATATCTTATTAAAACAACTAACATTAAAGCTTGGGTGTCTATATAAAATTTAAAGAAGCAAGTAATAAACATATGGCAAAATCAAAGGTACTTTATTCAAATGATTTGCACCACGTGACTTTGTCCCTTTTGATCAAATTACCTCCCTTAGCTTAAGATTGAAAATATAATTTATTTTAGATTTGCGGATAATCACGTCCTTTTCCGTCATGTATCTAAAACTAATGTATCTTTAAAAACTTCCTTTGGCGGATATTTACAAAAAATGCTGTGTAATTCTAAGGGAAAATGCTTAAAATTTGACTTTTTACGAAATGGGAAGGTTGAAATCATCATTTTTTAAAAGAATTTGGCCGAAAACTTAAGAAAGCAGGTAAGTTAAAAGTTATTTAACTTTAAAATTCAACCTACAAGGTGTTTCCCTATATGCGAACATATCATGAACAATATCTTCTTGCATATGTATTTCTGTTTTGAATCTTGCTATTTTACGATTTTCCGTCATTTTATATGATCTTATATAGCAATTATACTATGACTACGCTTCCGATTTTTAAACTAAAAAGGCCGAAAGATTTCAGAGTAGACAATGTCCATTTGTACACGGACAGAAGTGTTGTGATCCCGAGTAAATATATGAACTTACCCAAGACGTTTCTTGGCGTTGATCACTTGGATGGCTTTCTGGTAGAATTTCGTTACTGTCGTCTTGACTTTGGTTTACCGGAAAGAGAGAGAAGGCATCATGGGATCGGGCAACTTCCGGCAGGGTCTGGCTTAGTACCAACGAATACCACACTCCCCCCAGCTTTATATTTTTGTTGTACGTTTTAGAATTTAGTGATTCTTTGCCAAATTGTCCAAAATAATAACTGAATTTTCCAGGTGGGCCCCCTCCGATGAGAGGGGCCCAGATTAGACAAAGGTACTAGTTATATCTGTATTTGGGGCTGCTAAATTAAGTTAACCCTGTTGGTATGTACAGCCAGCCCCTTACCCCTTCCAGCAACGATCCCCGTCCCCTCAACCCCTTGGTGATGCCCCCTTGATTAGGATGGGGCTAGTAAGTTATTAAAATAAACTTAAAAATAAACTTAAAAATAACCGTCCTCTCTGGACAAGTTTTAACAGATATTTACACATATATACACAACTGCTTACAATGACTAAAAATATATACACAACTGCTTCCCCTACCTACACCCTATAAAGAGCCCGTGCATTGCTGGTGGTGGCCTCCAGCAATGCCCAAAGGGTGTCCCCTGACCTAAAGACCAATAGTCCCATTGCCACCTCGGCAATATACTGGGAGTGCCCATAG